TAAATACTTTTTAAAAATTTTATAAGCCATTAAATCAATCAATTAAATAATTTGATTTAAATCAAACAACCTTGCAACTTGGGGCTTACTCACGGACGAATTTTAGAGGAGCAAACTCTAAAATCGTTACCTGAAATTACAAGGCATCGTTGTAAATAAAGAAAAAACAGGGATAACGTGAATTACGTATAATAAAAATAAATGTGTAATACATGTACGTTGAATGGTAAAATTCTAAATAAAGAATCGTGCATAAGAAAAATGAAATATATGAAAGATGCATATAAGTATACAAATGACAGCAGTTCACATGTACTTCCTAAATACAGTGTCAATCCAGCTGCTAAAACTTCTTTAAAAGCCGATACGGAGGTGCAAAGAATCGATGGGGTATTAAGTGATCAATCGCCAAGCGAATAACCTATTTTCCGCGTCACGCCCTCCCACTCCTCTGCGCGCACCTCTCGTTACTATCAAGATGATCGCGCCAGACAAGCACCGGTGCTAGCGACAGGAACGAGCGGCGGTGCCCTTCCATTAATTTGGCTGCGACATGGCTCCGCAAACACGCATCTAAATCACAACTCACACAGGACAAGGACCGCTCTCACCGAGCAGCAACCCCTCCAACATTCCCAACTAATGCCTCTTTACGCTCATATCCCACACTCGAGGAAGCACTCAGCTACATGGGTTCCTTGATCGTCATTGTGGAAAGGTGACAGCACATCGCTCGCTATGGTCTGTGGGTATGTGCCTAGAAATTCAATCCCGTCATTAAACCATGAAAAGGCTGCTGGCGGTAAAACCGCATCTTGTTGCCGAAATCACCGAGACGCACGTTTTCTTGCTCGCGTCGAACCACTGATTTGGATGAATGCCGTCTTGCGCATTTGAGGAACCAATTCCGTAAAGTTGGTCGCATAATCTCGACGGACGCAGGCTGTGACGAAGACCGGGGAAAATTCTGACCAGGCCTAAGAAAAGGTGCCGATTCATGAATGGTAGAAGTATGACGTTCTAATAACAGTAGTGTAAGAAACAAGTTTATTCCATTAGGATGACATGCCCCATATTGCACAAAAATAAGGACGTTTCTTTCAGCATATACCAAATTTCAATACAATCTGTCCTTGTACAACCAAGATCGGGTGGGGAAGCGAAATCTATCCCTGCTTTTAATGAGGTTTAAAAATTGAAAACAAATGCACTAATACCAAAACACACCAACACAAAACAACCAGGAAACGGCCCTTTTCGGTAAATTGACGTTTTCATTGCAATATTGTCGCACACGTGTAATGGGCTCTCAGCTGGACCCAGAGAGGGTGCAATTTTCCTAGCACCGGTTGCTTCTTTGGTATTAACTGCGCCTCACTGGTTCACGAACGACTATGAAACACAAGCGTTGCCGTCGCATCACTACCAACAAAATGAGCCCTCCTGACCGACATGGCTCTTTTCAACCGATGAGGGGGTTCTTTGCTCGGGGCGAAATTAATATTTTCTGACACAAGACCGGAACTGCACAAAGATCTGATGGAATCATGCTCGGCGTCGAATTCCTTTATCTTCAGGTAAAACCATTTAACGTAAATGGAATGAACACCCTACAAAAACACGGTCATATCTATGAAACCCTCGAAGAGCAGTTCTTTATACTAGCAACAGACAAACGGACACACTTGGCAACCAGGAAATTACCTCTTTGGTCAGGGCAAACTAGGATAACGGGGCATTCAAGTAATGTCACAAGGTCTAAATGAAAATATTGTCTTTTTTAAAAAGTTCTTTCACCCTAATCCCCTTGGCATTTTACCTACGTGAGTGGAAGCTTCTGCGTTGGCCTAACTCAGTCAAATCACTGCGCAGTAAACAAATTTGGCAATTTCTTTTTCCCCTTGAAATTGGGACATCAAACAACACTGTACTCGTGGCTGTCGTTGGGAGCTTGGGATAGAAAATTGTACAACATAATACTAACTTCTGCAAATTACGCAAACCAGGGACGTGATTTGGCAGTTTTGAAAATTCTGCAGTTGAACAACAATTGAGGCCCCCTTTCTTTCCGTGGCATCTCTGATCAGCAAGGACAATTGCCGCTGTACGCACTACGCCAATTGCTGTAGATTAACGCGAACGGCAGCCCATCTCTCAACCGCCAATTAGCCGTCACCTTGTGTGTTCGCTGCCTGTGTATAAGGTTGGACTGCCGCACGACGCGCCCAGTGTTTTCGCGCCGCGGCAGTGGCGGCAGCGGCCCGATGAGATGAGGCGTTGATCACACCAGCTGCGGACTTCATGACGTTGATGAAGTGAGGATTAATGCGACAGTTCGAGCCGGGGGGAGGCCAGACGGGCACGACGGAGATTGCCGATTCTCTGTGCAGAGATTTCTCAAGCGACTCTGGGATCTGGTCAGTTCGCCGCCAACTCATTTGATCATCCACGCGCGCACGAACGGGCACATACATGTATTATATGCCACGTGTGAGAACTGGGCCAGTAGGCTTGCAGGAAAGCAGCGTTCCAATATTATCGTCCTACCAGTACAATTTCAGAAGTTCGAAGGTGATTTTGTGCCTTAGTTTGTGACATGAACCCAGGCCGCCAGTCCAACATTTCTCCTCCGCTTAAACTTTCACTATAACGGACAAGCTTTATTGAGAAGGTGTCTTACAGTTAGTGTCCTTCCCAGAAATTATTGTTATTGTGCCTTCGAAAGCATTCTAACAATTAATCGTCTAAAAGGGAAGAAAAACCTGCACAAGCCTTATTTCTTGAAAATTCGCTACCGAAACCACTGAGTTGCCAACCATTATGTTGTCGTGTTCAAAGGAGGGAAATTCGACTCGGACAACACAAATGCATTTCATAGAACAAATACACCTGTTTTTTCCAAAGCATCTGTAATTTCACCGTACAAACTCAGTTATATTTCTGAAGCTGTACACGCGGCTTTGCAGTCTGTCGACATTATTGCAGTCCCCAAGGCTGGACAGCTGCGCTATGACTTAAGGAAGGCAAATTTTGGATGTTTACAAATCTCCCTCTTGCAAAACTCAATCTACGAGTTGGCTTAGGTATGAAGCTGCGTAGTCCAAGAGCTGCATTGATGAGAGACGTGCATAAAATAGTCGTTGTCTTTTGCCGCTAAAGCATCCAAATGCACTGACGCACCTGCTTGCGCGGTCGAACACTAGTCAGTTAACCTGTCCTCAAGCTGTGCACGGCAGGCATCTCTTTAACGTGCCGTGCAGCTGCATCGTGCCCGTGTGCTATAACTGAACATCTGATACCGGCATTACTGGCGCATTTGCAGGTCTCTCAACTGATCTCTGCCATTTTGACAGACATGATCAGATACCTTTGTTTCATCATCTGTCCCGAGAGGGGGAGAGAAAAGTCTACGCGCGGAGTGGGCGGAAGGACAATCTCGGCGTAAACAAAGCCATCGACTGGATACCCCCGCCTGTGGCCCGCACTATATCAGTCAACATCTGCGCTAACTCCACGTCACTCATCGTGCGTCCATATTGAATCTGATGTGTGTGTGTTTTTTTTTTCGCTGTTAAACGCTGATCCCATTACGGATATAAATTTCGCCTCCGGGAAAAAGCCGAGGATGATATGTGGAATTTCGCGGGAAAAAGGACAGCACCTTCGACGAGACTGGGGCAAGCTCTGATTGGTCGGCGGGCGCTGTGGGTGCACGGTTTTACTGTAAACTCTCACCCAATGGAATTGTTAGACTGCCGGTCGCAAAGGCCACATCCGTAACCTGAAGATAAAAGTAGCGCTTAATGTGTCAACATGCCTTATCTCACCCTGTTTATTTTCTCCAATTCGGAAAAGAAACTTAATTGTTGTTTTTATTGTCATGGGGTAGGGGTTGACTAAAATAAAGTGCGATGGGGGTGGGCCAGCATCCGACAACAGGAGGCGCTGTCCAAGGTTGGCACTATTACGTGGGCTAATCCACTTCACACAATTTTGTGAAGTACACTCGGACTGAACAAATGCTTGTGGGTTCCTTGCTGGTTAAACAACTTAACGCACTGTGCATTTCACGGAAATGCCGACCCCGTGCTCTTGTTCAAACTGATGCTGTACAGTCCATCAAGCCGATGTCTCGAACATATAACGTCATGTATGCAGACGGTGGGCACAAAGCACCCGCTCACTCTAGGTGGCGCTGTTCGCGGCGGCCGGCAATAATACTCATCCACCCACCCAGAACCCACAGGGAGTTTGCCCACAAAGACCTTCGCACTGAGGGTGTCCAAAACTGACTCAATGACAAACAACGACACAAACCAAAGAAACATGCGTCAACTTAGTTTTCAAAGATCACTGCAGCAAGTTGTTATAATCTGGAATTGGCTTGTCACCAATCTCCATCTCGTCAATGCGCTCTCACCTCTAGAAACACGTGGAACTGATGTCAACCGTCAAACATGCAGATACGGAATGACAGACAGTTTGTATGGTACACCTTGAAGCATATATCAAACCGTATATGTACGCCAGACTTGTGCTTCGACAAGAATGTGGCCAGTCTGTTTTCATGTATAGTGTCATGTGACTGGGTACTGTCAACTCCGGTATGCGCACGTCTGGTGTCTTCATATATCGCCATAAAGCAAACTTGTAGTCGAGGAGTCGAGGACTATCCGAGAACTTTGTTGAGTACGAAATTCGGTTATTTCATAACAAAACATTAAGAACGTTCAACTTCAAGTCATGGAACAAACGTCCCCTTATGACCGTTCACTTCAAGTCATATAACCGCAGTGCATGCATTAGAACTCATAAGCTCTGTATTAACCATTGAAATAAAAACACAACTGAAAAGAAGCCGTTACATTGAGGAATGACGCACTGACACACACATTTCAATCCATTCCAGTTCGGTTATCCTGCCTGAGTGGCGCGCTGCGCGGCTTGTACCGTCTTGCTCGTTAACCGTATTGAACGCAATGAAAAGGAATTCAGTCCAATTTCGAGTGCTTAACGAGTACCACTATTTTAATGTGTATCACGTACGCAATTGTAACGAACTCTTACGAAAACTTTAAATCAACATTTCTAAGTCATTGTTGGTGACGTTTCATGAAGTCAACGGCAGACTAGAGTATACGACAAAATTTTCGTAACGACATAAACGTAACACTGTACATCCAATCCTCTTCCAGTTTCGTCCGTAGCATTTCACTTAAGATACTTTTTGGCAAGCTTTTAAAAGGACATCAAGGCGCGACTTTAAATCGACACAATGGACGAATGGGAAGCAGGGTCACGTCAAGCCCAACAAACCGATCTTCAAGTATTCAAGCAAACGTTGCATTGCATACCCGCATTGGATATCGCCAAAGGTTCCGTTTGGGCCTGAAAAGCGTGACCTGCGGTTGTGACTTCACACGAAACTGCACATCACAATCTCTGCAATAGTTTTTAGTGGTTATAGCTACATGGGTAATTCTCGAAATTAGGCGTCATGTTTCGGCTATAAAGCAGAGTGCAAAATCATTTCCCTCTTGACCGAATTTGACATTTAATAGCACGGCTCACACATCCGGTGGGTTTAAGCAATCTTCAGGAACCAAGGAAAATCACTTCCAAGTTGATTCCTCATTAAATTGCTCGTGGAAGCACCGCCTTTTTGGAGAGGAGATGCAGTCGGGGTTAACGGCAACAGACATTTTCCATATTATCTGTACCTACAACGTCATTTTGAAGTGTATAAATGTTTGTTTTTTTATCACGTCGAGGTATAAGTTTAAATAAGATAAAATTTCTGTGTCAATGTTTCGGCCTAACAAGAAACCTCACTTTACATACGTCTATTATTCTCCCAAACGTAAATACCACATCTTACAAATTTACTGTAGATAATTGGAATTTTGTATTTGGTTTTTCTGAAAGGATTTTTAATTGTTACAGCACCATAGATGGATGACCCTTACTGTTCTTGAAAGTGTCCCATCCTTTTGGTAACCAATAAAAAGAGTTGTTACCCTTAAGGACAATGCAAAGCACAACACAAACAGTATTTACGGCGCACGGACGACAGCTTCTTAACGTTACAAACTTAGCTCCAAATTTGCATAAAAACGTGACCTGGCCCCGACCCTAACTAAGTTCCCGGACACTGTTGCTGACTTCGTCCACACTATCTTTGAGTTTTTCCCACTGCTCAACGGTTAAGCTGATGCCTAGGAACAAAACAGAACGGAAAGGAAGGGAAAAAGAAAAGAAACAAAAAAAAAGGTGACGGAAAATGGAACATTTTGATTCAAAATTTTAAGGGACGAATCTGCCGAACTGACTAGGGGCAAGTTTAATACGAAAACCTTAAAGAGGGCGCTGTAACAAAATGTAGTGCTATAATTTATGTTTTGCTCCATAGCTTATATTAGCGTTTTAGAAATGCTCAGATTTTAAAAATGAGTCAGTTGCCTTTTTTTTCCACCTGTAGTTTTAAACTACATGTAGGTTTACGGTATGACCACAGACTTGCACTGTTGAAATATATCAAACTGAAGTGCCCAAACTTTGACCTCCCATTAGCTGGAGGATGTCATCCTACAACGTACGTGTACATGTAAGGGACCAAATTCACCAGACACAGGCCAAAATATAAAGCTGTAGAAAAAGCCAAGGTTAATACAACCCCCCCCCACCAATACCACTTGCACCCACGGGCAAGTTGTAGCCACGATTACAGTTAATTATATTTCGACCATCCTCGCCCAAAACAAAGAAGTCAACCGTTTGGAACCAGCCCCTGCAAGATGGTTGCTGGTTATTAATAGCCGTTTTTTTTTTAGTTAAGCACGGAGCAAACCGTTGAAGGGTCATTCTATAAATCTGGGGTCGATTTTTTTCCCCATCCCTGTTACATCTGGTGTATGATTTTACTTTAATGATTGTTTAATTTAAAGTTGAATAAGTACTGCAAACCACCTGCCAAACTAATACAGTAATTTGAAAATAATTTCAGTGATATATCCCTTGTCAAAGTATGCATGTCAGGTGTAACAGGGACGGAATAATTGTCACAAGTCGGACCCCATATTCATAGAATGACCCTGAAATGAAACTGTGGCACGTTGCAGAGACTGTGAAGAGCAACAAGAGATGCGACCCACTGCAAGACACGTGTGGTAGAGGGATTCCGAAAAAAGGGGTTCGACTGCTGTCTTTTGAGGGAAACCGTACTGGGCATGTGCATTAGCAAGGAGCACCCAACCAGCGGTTGGACTGAGGTTCGCGCCCAATCCTACATGTACCCCATTTCAGAGCTGTACATAAACAGAGTAGGGCCAGATTCAGATTTTGGACACAAAATGGCTGCTCATTATGTGTACATGCACAGTAGAGCATATGACAATTGTATACCAATTGTCAATGTGCACCGATGCAGACACCTGCCAGTTTGGTTCCAAGAATGGCGACACTTAACTCTCTCTATACATGGTTCTGCTCTATACCCCTTTGACCTCAGCCGAACTACACAATGTAAACAAACTACAAATCAAACAACTTTCCAAGCTCAATTTTTCAGAAAAAAAAAATCTTATCCCAAGAGGAAAAAGAAAAAGAAACAATTACCTTTTTTCCCGGGTTTTAGCTCGCCCGAGTTGTCCGTGTAGTACTCTCTAATGTCAATCAGCACCTTGCCCCGAAACTCCCTGACACTGACAAACCTCTGTCTGGAAAGCTGTCACAGGGTCACACACAAAAATCCAAAGATTAAGGGTTCAAAAAGTGTTGAAATTAATGCGGGGCAAGGCGTGGATTGAGTAGCGAATCATTGAAGACAGGTGAATCTGAAAATTTAACCCTCACTACAAGGACACTGTGCAAGTATGTAACGTCAGTCAGGGGGCTGTTGGGAGATGTTGCAGGACCGGATACAGTCTTAACCCTCTAAAATCCTCCCCTCTTTCTTGCCCGTCCTCCATCAATTCTTGTCAATATGTTGAAGCAGTGCAACTGATCTCCTGGAGCAGTCTGGATGATTTTAAGTATCATCCAGGCGTAAATTTATGTGCAGCCGAGTGTTTACGCCACAAAGTCTGGCCCAAGGCTTTGGCACAAGGCATCCTTCGAAATCGGCCACGTATCTTTGCTGCGCAGCCTCAATCCTTTGAAATCTTTCACTTATGCAAGGAGGATTTTGGAGGATTCAAGAAGGTCTGTATTAATAGGAAACAAAGAACCACATCTCCTACATGTAGACATGATTACTGTCCATTTTCTTTATGACTCATTGAGGGCCACTCTTTCCCAAACTCTTTCCTATTAGTATTACATCATTCCTATTACACCTACACGTGCATACTGAGGTTTTAGGTAACCTGCATTAATTTTGAGGGGAAGTACATGTACATCAAATCTTCGACATTTTGGTCACGGATTTTGCAGGGGGATTCTGGGTGTAGTGGTACTTTCTTTGCCTTCCATCTCTGCGACTTCCAAGTATTCAACAATGGATCGAACATCTAGGAATATCTGAATAATCGCCACAGCCCAATGCCGAACCCCGTCAGTGCTGCTGCCACGGGGGTACACTCACCGGGTACATGTGGTCCTCCGGTCCGTCTCCCATCTTCTTCTTCTTCTTTGGGGATTTCTCTTTGGGCTCTTCAACGTGCTTCTCCTTCATTTTCTTCTTCTTGGGCTGTGAAGTCAAGAAATGCAGCTTTCTTAAGAACTAAGACCCAAATCACTTGCTGGTTTCAGGCAGGATGTGCAGGGGGTCCGGCCCTGCTAAGTGAACCGGAGTTGTTTTTAACTGCACTTTATCACCATGATCACCTGCCCATGAATCACCTCACCCTACTGTAAATATACATGTATGTGTGTATATGCATGCAACCATCGCAGTATGTAATACACCAGATGGTGAACTGCACTGTACTAGAAAGGGAAGAGAGAAATATTCATCTCTCCTCCGTCCATGAAGGCCCATCCCTTCACTAAGGACAAGGAAGGAGATCCTGTCAGGGGGAACCGTGATAGAGTGACTTGGCAAGGTCTCCAAGGAGTATGCTCATTTTAATACACTTTATCCCTCACGAGCGCTGGGAAGGTGTGTGTGCTTTTGAGACCGGCAATCAATCTGCAGGGCACAGACCAATGTGTGAAAGCTGGACCGCACAAATAACCAACAATGTCGCAGCAGGTGACACCGGTGCCCAGCCAGAGGTACACGTAGGCCCAGTTCAGCACTGGTGTCAGCCCTTCTGTGGGAGTGAGTAGTTGGTAACAGTAAGGAAAATATCACTCCCTGGCAAGGAGTGCAAATGTTTAGATGACAGAAAGAACAAAAAACCTGCAAATAACTGCTGTGCAAACACATCTCAACCACTGTCATACATTGTATTAGCAGCTCCATTTTTTAAAATTTGGCTGATATAGGGCTGCATGTATCTCAACGGATGTTAAATGTATCGCATTATTCCACACCGCTATCACCTTTTTTGGCCCAAAATAATTTTTTCACCTGCGGGTGGTTATTTCACAAAATATTGGCCATAAACCCAACCTGTTAGGGTCTAGTCACTCTGGTGTTGATGTTGGTGGGTTTACATCAACAGCAGAGTCACAGCATGGTCAGTCTCCATTAAGGCGCATGTATTCAAAGACATGACAGATAAAAAACAAGTATATATTTTGCCATCGTACAGTTGCACATCATTTTTTTTCACACGGCTGGCTCTGAACCAAATGGAGCAATTCTCCCCTTTGGATCAAGTGTGTGTGTTCATTGCAATTTGATCCCTCTGTCAGATCAGTGGATTGCAAGTTAAATTTTTTCTACACCCAAAAGTTCCAAAATTATCCCTTCATTTTCATGCTAGGTTTTTTTTTTTTTATCAAATCCCAAGTTGGATTTCAAGATACATGTACACTATATTTCAATTTTATTGTGATCCGTGGCTCTGGAATGATAATTCACAATTGAAAATGCAACTTGTACATGTTGTAAAGAACTGGAAACTGTGTGGAAAGAATGTTGCATCCTGCCTCCACTATGTTTAATGCTCACCATTCATATATCATCTCAATAGTCAGTCATTGCAGAAATGCTGAAAAGACACAACTTTGTGACTAAATACATTCAAATTTTGTTAACAAATTATCAACTCCCCATAGACTTCACACGTAACTACTGAAGTGAAGGCAGGATGAATGAACATTCTTTCCAAGACTTTCAATCCATAAATGCCATATCTTGGCCTAGTTGGAATAACTAGGACCCTACCATTCGCTTCTTTTAAGGTTTAGATATGGTCAGACGATAGGGTCCGCCCTAGCCCCACACGTAGGGCTGTGGATGGCTCTCTTTTGAAATCCGTCTCTTTTCTGATTGCCATCGCAGCCCTACTTCAAGGCATGTCTTAAATGCCTGAAATCCAAACTGCAGGATTGTCACAAACTGGGAATCCAATATCTTCTGAAGTGAGAATGACTTGACAATTTTACTTACACTGTCATATTCCTCAGACTCAGAGTTTGGACTTTCAAACGATCACCCTAAAGCTTTCCAGAACCGTATGTTTTCCGATGTATGGCGCCTTGATAAACCCGGCCAGCGGTATTGACATGCTGACAGTGGGTGTCACCATTTTGAAAATGAGGCCTACCAACAAAGGCAGTGCTTCATGCATTGGATTTCAAGGCACCCGACAGGTGCTCTGGTATAGGCCCACATGTACAGTGTAGGTTGTACGGAACTTGTATCATACAAAACTGGTTCCTGTCACCTTGAGTGTCTGTGCTTGTGTGACAGACGAACAGGGAATCAGTGAAATGTGTGCATGTACGGGGAATAACCAGTGAAATGAGTATTTGAATGTATGCACTCGCACCCATGCAATGTAGTACACTGTACGAGAAAACATGCCCATACGTCATTACATGCACATGTAGGCCCCTAGTCCACTATGCCATGCTCCATACACGTGCCGTGGGCATGTTGTACACTAGCATGGTGCGCAAGCAACTCATTACATTACTTATCAATACAGTGACAATACGAATTATGCATTTACGGCACCTGTTGGGCATTTGATGCACGATATGTGGCAAACGGACCTCAGCCTTGTGCCGTGCAGCAATGCTACTGCTACCCAGGTGTACGCATGCACTTTAACGAAAGCTCCTACCACTGGTGTCCTCATCACTCTGCCCCGGCCTCTTCCTTTTCGACCTGCCCTAGCCCCGTGTAGCGGCGAGTAGCAGTGGGTTTGTGCACATGTCTATGGAGTAGCATTTTTTCTGATACTCTGCCCCGGCCCATTCCTTTTCGACCTGCCCTGCAATGCCTTTCCACAGTTGTGCAAAATCAACTTTTCGGTATTAGCTATAAGGCTTATGGAGCGGAGCAAGTTTCATGGACCGGCCTAGGCCTACATGTAGGTCAACTGGATAGGCCGAGGCCTACATGAAGTCAGGTGATAGTAGGCCTAATTATTTCTGTTTAAAATAATACAAATTACAATGTAATAAAATTAAAGTTTCCCTCACCTGGTATTCCTCATCACTTCCAGAGTCACTAGAAGACAAAGTTTCCTTGGATTTGTACCGTGGCATTGTAGAAAAGCCAGATTATTCAGCCTAGTCCGTATAATTTGTTGCTTTGCTCTAGACTATGGTGTATTTATCAGCATAATTTCTCCACACAAAATGACATTCCCGCTTTGTATCGGAAGTTCTGCCGCATGAATGCGACACAGGTTTTTTCATTGGACCGCAGGACAGTCGCCTCCCCTAAAGAGCACACGTAATATGGACGTAAAACACAACCATTAAAGGTGCCAGACTAATGGTATCAACGGAGGCCTCGAAAAGACGTTACCCTAGAGCCAGAAACATCGCATAATGATCGTACGTCCTCTTGCGAAAGTTCCAGAGAGCACAAAAACAATAAGTATTTTCAACCTAAGAATCCAGTACAGTTATTTATCTGAAATTTCATTTCTCCCTGAATAAAACAGCCCCTTCTGCAAATCTAAAGTTATTTTCCCCCAGTCAGCAACGCAAATAAATGAATAACAATGACAACAGACCAGTCGTTTTTAAAAGCATTTTTTATTATAAGCGCCAGCTTCAAGCTATCTTCTTTATGAAAAATGATTTGACGAGTCTAGCAGACAACTATGCATCAATGCACTGGATCTTCAACACCTATTCTTAAAGATTCTTTCCATTAACGAAACCCTGCCCTGGGTTCTGTGTACATTCTTAATCTTGTGAAACCAAAGAATGAATTTCCCAACACAATGATCAATATTAAAGTTCAAATAAGGTTTAGAGAGAAGTATAATTATTAATGTTTCTAATTGCCCTCGTGTGCAGTGGGCGGGGCTAGGTGGACCAGTCTTTTGCGCACTAAGGGTGCGTTCAATTACGTGTAGATTCCTGGCGAGTTGACTCGGGTTTAACCTCGTGCCCACCGTCCTCGTGGTTTCACACAGCCACCCCGGTCAGGGTTGCCCCGTGTAAGCTAATGGAGCGTATCCTTTTATTTGGCCACACCTTTTAGAACACCCCTGTTAAATTTTTACACATTGAGTTTTGTTTGACTCAGATTTTTCCGCGCTCTGCGTCCGTTTTGTGCATCATGTAATTAAACAAAAATTGTATTTTCACAAACAGCGTTGAAATGATTGAACAGCAATAGGTCAATAGACACCTCCATACTGATGACGCCGCAATTTTTTCCAATCTGCTCTCCTATGGTGCTTAGTGGACCGTGACTCCACTGGCACCATAAAAAACTGTAATATTAACATAAGCTTGTGACGTCATCAATACGTAGGCCTATTCTTTAACTGGCTTTCCTGGATAAACACGCCAGTCTTCTTTTTAGTAACAATAAACATAGCCTCTACGGGTTATTAGTGGAGCAAACGGTATGGGGGTCAGTCCCGATCTTCGAGCTTGGTTCGCTGTCTCTAGTTCTCCCCGTCGTCTGCGGTAAGGTAGGGCTCCAGCGCAATAGTCAGCGGGAAGTTGTCAGCGGTCAGCTCCCCGCCCATCACCGGCCCTGCCAGGGCCTCGGCCAGGTCGCCCATGTGCAGAATGCCCTCCACCTCGGGGGAGCGGCCGTACAGGGCCAGGTGCAACGGGATCTTGAAGCAGCCCAGCTTGACCGTCGCCACCGTTTTCCCGAGTAACTTGGCCTGCAGGCGGCCGCAGCCGCTGAGGGCGTCCTTGGTGAGAGACAGGTCGTAGAGGGAAATGCACACCTTGCCGACTCCCAGCGGCTCGCAGATTGGGGGAGGGTTTTTCACTGCAAGTAAAAGAAGATGGCACGTCCAATAGTATGTAGTAGTCGGATTGAAATGGCAGAATTATTATTGGTACGCAAAATCTGGATTCCTCCATTTTCGCGGCGAACCCAAGTGGAATGGAAAACTCTAGAGTTTACAAAGCGATTAATATCCTTCCCATTTCGCCAATTTGAAGTCCGTTCATCTACATAAAGATCTGAACCTGCTGAATCTATTACGTCCTTTCAATCAATGCACTATTTTGACGCGAATGTTTGCACTCTTATCGCCGTCATTACCGTATGTGCTCGTCAAGTGACACGAATCTACTCACAACCTTCTCTCCAGCTTTTGGTCTGGGTCGGTTTGCTGCTCAACATTAGGGAGGGTCGACTGCTCAAACGTAACCGTTGGATTTAATCACATTCAACATGGGCGAATGGAACTTAATGAGCTTCGTTGAGATTGGAACCAATGAATCATTGTCACATGATGTGTGCTCCACCGATCAAATGACAAGAATGGGTGAGTTAGTTATGTGCATATTTACAAGCCCAACATAATCTATTTTCAGCGCCCCTTGAAAAACTGTCTGACCGCAGGCTACCCCGCATGCACGTCACCCCGTTGTGCCACTGAAGACATATACCAAAAAAAAATTTGTACACTGTAAGAGGAACTCCAAGGCAGCTATTACCTCATTTCTTCAAAGAGTTCATCCATTTCGCGTTTTGCGTAATTTTATTTTAAGCTTCCTTTGAGAGGTTGCTGAATCAGAACAAAGGGCCGACTTTGAGAGCGTTGCATACGAGCCCTTTCAAGAGGGCGCACTTGGGATGAGTCGTATTTTTTTTCAGTTTTCAGTACGGCTTCAAGATAGCAGTTTATTGGGGTGTGGCTTCCACCCCTACCTTGCCATGCAATTGAAGTTTTGTAGCCTCCAGAGCTACGGTCAGGTCAATTGTCAGCGAGTCTCTGAGTATTTCGCGGGAAGCGAAGACGTCAGGCCTATAGCTGAAAGCAACAGATTCGAATGCAACCCTAAATTGTTTGTACTTACGCGACAAAGTCTTCGTGAAAACGGTTTTCCCGTCAATCGTGAGGGACAGGGAGACGCCGATGTTGGAGGACAAGAACTGAACCTTGATGCAAACTGCATATGGCAAATAAAAAGGGAGAAACAAGGAAACAGCTTGTGAAATTAAATCGTATACCGATGATCCCCCTTTCAGATTACAACGGATGCATTCAATTAGCTTGCATTGGGGCAGCTCTGACCTGAGGATGGTCGTGTTTGCTGTGCCAAACAAATGAGACGGTCGGGACGAAGTCACCCGTGTAACTGGTGCAAGCTAATCGAATGCACTAAATGTAATAAGGCTGAAGGCATCTTATATGCATCTGCACGTGTTTTGCCAGCCACTTTTAGAAGCCCATGACATGGGCACAGCGTTAACAGCTAGCATCGGAGACTGGGGGTCAATCATGAGCCACCGTACTAACTCGTATAGTAAATACCAGGCCGCCGCCTTTAAGGATGCGATGGGATGGATGTTAATTGAAACGACGCAGGCCGAGTTCTGCTTTAATCTAATTTCATAGCTTTAATGGCGTGGTAAGCAAAGAAAAAGGAGACGACCAGGCCCGTTGAAATTCCTGCCTTTTGTTTATGTATTGAAAATTAGATTTTATTAAATTCTTGGGAAAAAATTCGACCCTGCCAGGATTCGAACCTGGAATCCCCTGATCCGTAGTCAGATGCCTTATCCGTTGGGCCACAGGGCCAGTTATCAATATCTATTTTCAGCAAGCCGTAACCAAAAACATTTTTGTGACCCACAGGAACAACCAGGAACATGGTATAGTAAGAACATAAAACGTACCAGTTGGATGTGTAGCTATTTTAAGCCTAAATGTTATTTTCATTGGCATTCGTCGATGGCTACATTGGGCATTGTTTCAGTTCATGTAGGCCTAAAAAGAGGCCACTGAGCAAAGTTTCTTTTTATTTTGAACAGAACCGGCAACATTCAATTCTTCCGGAAATGACCTCATGCAATAGCGCCCTCACTTGTTGGGAAGAGCATAGCAAATTGTAAATACTAAAAAAAGTACACTTTCAATGAGACTAAACAAACATCTAAAGACAAGTACGTTACATTAATTCTCTCTCATCATTTTTGGGGGACCAAAAACACATGATGAAAGCATCAAGGGACAAATATAGAACCACTCAGATATCCACGCTTGAGTGTTCTCTTCTAATATACGGCTCCCCTGTGTTGTTATCTGCATTCGGCCATGCTGGTAACTCGAGTCCCATGACTGTGATATCCACGAACATCTACTCTCATGGCCAAACACCCCCCCCCCAAAAAAATAGAAACGAAGAAAACACAGAGGGACTGACAGCCCGACACTATACTGAAGAACGACAGGCAGGCCGACAGACGGCCCAACAGAACGACAGACAGACCGACACCCTGACAGACAGGCAGAGTGGCAGACAGACCGACTGACCGACAGACAGACGGACAGGCCAACAAACAGATTCTTTCCGATGTTGAACTCACTGTTGTTGTTGATCTTTATCGCCTTTATTTTGATTCGTTGGCAGCACTGGCACTGATCGTGAGAGCAGGAGCAGGGGCCGTTCGCGCTCACACTCGGGGACAGGTCCAGCCACTCGTCCACGGTATCTGTGGATTCCACAAGAGCTAAAACCAACAGAAACAAATGGCCATCTTGAAAAAAAAATTCCTTCGTCGAACTGCTTGGCTGGGTGTTTCATGTTACAATTTTTCCTGATGACGGAAGGGGGGCATTGTTGGGAAAAATAAGATTTTCTGCCTTTTTAACATGTGCCATATGTGTTTGCAACAAATAACAGTAGAATCTAGATACATTTATCGAAAATAAAATAGTTCCTACAACTTGGTTGCCTACACCTTGGTTGTTAATAATGATAATAATAAATGGCATGTAACATGCTCTGAACCAAATCATTGTGCGTAATCGAGAGCGTAATTACTCTGAAACATTACCTCGGTTAAATTTTAACCAAAGGAAGGGTGAAAATGCAACTAACCAAATATGGGAGGAGAATTACTTTCTGTTTCATTTTTCACCCACAAAATGAGTGGATATTAGCCATTGTTAAAACAAACTAGAAAATTAATTTCCATCACCCAAATTGGGTTGAAACAACCTAAACTGTTGTGTAGTTACAGTTTTCACCCTCCCTTGGGGTACATTTAACCCTGGCAATTGTCGTGATAATAAAATCGGACGGGAATGCCAAACGGGGACAGTGAAAACAGGTGACAAAAGCAATAAGTCACAAAAACATTTTAAAACAGCTATCGCTTCACATTTGCCTCGTCACAGAGCATAATGATTTTGCAAACGGGACTCAAACGGGACGGGAAAACAAAACAATTGTTCAATAAGCGAGTGAATGACAAGGCTTTTCAGAGCGTAGCATTGGCTCGATCGTTCTGGACCAACTGGATACCTTGAGGTTATTTTGTTTCAAGTTGAGTTTTCGATCTGCTGACATTCAGATCATCCGGCTTAAATAACTATCTTCCTCTCAATCTGGTCGAACTCTTGACGGGCAAAAAGGCCTATCCATTCAGCCCCGCCCTAGCTGCTATGTTCTGACCAATCACAGCCATGATTAATGTCCAACATACGTACACAAAGGTTTGACATGCCTACACGTGCGTATGATGTGCGCGGCTGGAAAGTGTAGTGGGAAGAGCACGTGTTGCGTGCCCACCTCACAGTGGGTGGGGCTTCCTGGGACGGTCCACGGTTTCGTTTATCGCAAGTTCCCGCCAATTACCATAGAGTTATGTTACGCAAGAGGATAAAGAGGACTGCAACTTTCTCTATTAACTTGCATCTGTTGTTCATGCGATTCACTGCACCCTGTGTAAAACACTTGTAATCTCGTGACTGTTTACTCGCTTTGGTATCAGATGAAGGATTTTGTATCTATGGGTGCGTTTGTCTAGTCAAGGTCTGATCCAGACGGTGGAGCCATATTGGAATGTGTTTTGTAAGAAATGAGTTTAAAATAACAATCTCATTACCTTGACAAGTATGAGAATGGCATACCTGTCCGCTTAGGTCCGAGAGCTTAATGTTTGAGGAGGGTATAATTTTATACACAAAATTAAAGCAACACGCCTAGACACGTCCAATTATGTTTATTACGTCACAACGTCTACACTTGACCTCTGACCTAGCTCGTCTTCCTTTAAGGGGATCTTGAAGCAGCCCAGGTCCACCGTGGCTATAACTCGGCCGTAAGCCTTGGCCTGCAGGCGGGCGCAGGCTTCGAACTCTTCTGGAGACACGGATAACTTGTACAGCTCGCCGCAAATCTGAAATCTTCCCTTGAAGTTCTTGCAGATAGGTTCGGGGTTCTTAACTGCATCAGAAAAATAAGCAAAGGCGAAAATCAAATATCCAGCATTCCCAGATAACCTCAACTTGACCTCAGAATGATCCAACTTGTGGTCGATTATTCAAAAATCGATTCCAATTCTTATACACGTAAGAAGACTTATTTACTACTTCGTTACTATTCCTACCTGACACTGTTTGGTCGAAGATGACTTTTCCATCGATGGATAATGACAATTTGGCACCGATTTGCTCAGACAAGAATGTCACATTTGCACAGGCTGTAATAAATGGAAAAATAGAGCCCGCTAACGTCGCTTGAATACAAAATTAACTAAGGATAGTACAACTAACTCAGCATTTAGCATTTTGCCCTTTACATGCTGTGCGTAAAAACACAATAGGCTACCAATCAAGTTATTGCTAATTATGCAGGTTGGCGGCATCGCTTCAAGAATTTTGTAATCCACCCCCCAAACCAACTGATTGCTATTCAAGGAAAGTCTCTTGTCAAGATATCTGGAATTCTCAACGATCGCTTCACACTTTGTATTGCACTGTAACATTTCTGCAAGTTTTGTTTTAAACAGTTTTGGAACAACTTGAAATTCTTCTTCAATGTATGAAAACAATTCAAAGTACTATTATGGGTTTGCCCTGCTTTTGCAGACAACAGATGGCGCTGTTTGTGTAATGTCCGAGAGAACAGGCCTGGTTTTAGGTTTTCTGTTTGCGCAGTGGAAACTATTCCGGAAAAAGTTTGTTCCATGGCTTTTGAAATTTACCCGACAATCAATCATCAAAAAAGGGACAATTTAGAGCACCAAATATCAGAAATGTCAGCATTTTTTTTAACCCAAATCCATGGAATGTTTTCAAGGTTGTCTCATTTCAATAACATCACAGTATTCGTCATGAATATAGAAATTGACATTGGTGTTTGATTCAGTTTCTCATGACTTTTTATCTAATGTTCTCGACAACTTTAATTTCGGTCCCTCCATTAGAAAAGGATTCACGTGTTCTATGACCAAGCGACCTCTTCTGTTTTGGTTAATGGTTTTGTGTCAGAATCTTTTGATATAAGGAGAAGTTGTAGACAAGGCGACGGTTTGAGCCCATTTTTATTTCTTTTATGCGCCGAAGTACTCTCTGTGATGTTATGTAATGATCATACTGTGAAAGGTATTGAGGTGGACGGTTCTGAATTCTTGGTATCTCAGTATCCTGGCGATACAGTATTGTTTCTCGATGGAACTGAAAGATCTATGTGCGGTGCATTCAATAATCTTGACCGTTTTGCAGATATTTCTGGATTGAGAGTTAATGTAGATAAAACCAATGCTGTTTGATTTGGATCAATGAAAGATTCCAGTGCAAAATTGTGTAAGGACCTCATGGTTAACTGGATCAAGCCCCAGGATACTTTTAAAGTGCTCGGCATTTATTTTTCAACAGATCTGTGCTCAATAGCCTCGCTTAATTATAATAGAGTGTTGTTATCGCTGAGGAATAACATTGCTCAGTGATCGAAACGGAATTTGACGGTTCTTGGCCGCGTGACTGTAGTTAAATCTCTTCTTATGTCGATTGGGTCATTTTCATTTGGAACGGAAAAGATCGTGTCACTAGAAACCAGATAATTCAAGACTACAGAGTGGGTGGCTTGAAAATGATAGATACTAGTGCTTATATCGATGCTCTAAAAATACTTGGCTCTGTAGGCTTTTAGTTTCAGAAGGCTCAGCCTGGTCACTTTTGGCCCATGTTATACTTGATACCTATAGTTCGACGGTTCTCGAAGGGGGTTCTTTTCATTGGTTCACTACTAACAACTGTATATGAACATCAGTGTATTGAACTCCTCTTGTCCTAAACTCATGACCCACAAAGATGTTTTAAAAAGTAGTCTTTGGTTCAACGATCTTGTTAAAGTTGGTAACAGATGCATTTATTATAGACACTGGGCGTCGGCCGGTATTCTTTATATTATTGATCTTCTAGATGACAATGGAAGATTTTTACCACTTAATTCTTTCAAAAACAATTTTAACATTCGTGCAAACTTTATTGAATACGCTGCTGTTGTCAAAGCTGTTAAGTGTACCTTTCAAGATATACTTGAAACGGAGAACAGGAATGTGAACCGCCCCTTCGTTCCTTTTAATTTTGAAGTTCTTTTACGGGAGAAGAGAGGTTCTAAGAAACTTTTCCAGACATTTATTTCTTCAAAGAAGGTAGTAAGGAAAGACGTAGAAAAGTGGAATAACAAGCTACACATTGACTACAATTTAAGTCAATGGTCCTTAATTTTCAAGGTTCCTTTCTCATGCACAACTGACACAAAATTAAGATGGTTTCAGTTTCGTCTAATTCATAGAATACTGAGTACAAATTCATTTCTTTTCAAAATCAACAAAGCTGATTCCAACACTTGTACTTTTTGTAAAACTAAGGAAGAATGCCTAATTCATCTTTTCTGTAGCTGTACTTATTAAGGAAACTTCTGGTCCTCTCTAGTTCTGTGGATTAAGGAGAAAACATGCATAAGTGTGCACGTGGACAATCAGACTGTGCTATTTGGTAATGTTAATGTTACTTTAGAATGTCTTAATTTAATACTTCTATGTGCTAGATTCCATATCTTTAAAGAGAAGATGAACAATAGGCTCCCCTCTATCCTAGCTTTTAAAAAGGAGGTTAAGCTGTACTATCTCTGTGGAAAACATTTATCTGCTGTAAACAATGAAAATCGAAGATTTAGTTCAAAGTGGACTTATACTCTAGACTTTTCCAAGAGTGAGGTTACCGCGACACTAACTTCTGTGATTACTTTCCATATCTAGTTTTAATAATGTTCAGAACAAATCTAGTGTATCTTGTGTTTTGTGAATGTGAACTGAAGAAAGAGAAATAAATGACTTACCCGGAGAAAAAAAATTGACATTGGCATAAAAAGTACAGTGCCACCTAAAATAACAGAAAATCTCAAACCTCAGCTTAAATGAAACAAAAAGGTACGGTACATTTTCAAAGTTTGTAGGGAAAAAAGCACATCATGCACTCCTTCACGCAGAAAAACTCACCTTTTGAATTGATTCCCAGCGCCGGTATCTTAACGGACTGACAGCACCCGCATTCCTTGCCTTGGCACGAGCAGGGAGACCCGCCATACAGAGATTGGCCATCTGACAGGCCCGTCCACGCTACCTCGTCGACTCGGACTTCGTCTGTGAATAGACATCGAGCGAATAAAACCAGCGAGGTATTGCGTGTGTAACTTACATCATCACCACTGCTAGAAATAAAACCTTTTTCTAGGTTGGAAGGGAAAACAGCCAAATTATTTAAACGAAACGGACAAAAGTGGCAGCTATATAGGGAAGGTTTTGATTTTTTCCCCCCGCAAGGTACGTGCTGAGTGGTAGGAAACTTGTAGTTGACTGTTTTAATGAGTCTTCTTTTAGTGTTATTAAAGTGTTCAATTAATGTATATTAATGTTCAATTTCTGTATATTCCATAGCCATGTGTCTTTTGACCAGAGTGATATTTCTGCTGAAGGCTCTTTACTGTTATCTTTCGAGTTTCGCTATTAAAATATCCCAATCGAAAATTTAAGAAAATATTGAACTAATAAGAGACTTTGGTCCTTTTGGTTGCTACGGGCATGTGCGTGGAATTCTGGGCATGCGCGGAAGTTCTGAGCACGCGCACAACGCACAGACATAACCCATAGACTGGCAGCTCCTATTCGAAACAGAGGCAGGGTCCCGTAGCCGAGACAGCACCCGCCTAAATCAAAAAGCGTAGGCAAATTCACCCATCGGTATAAGGAATTTACGCACAATTGAAGAATTCCAGCCACGAAATTCTATGAACCCATTTTTTGATTGCGAAATAAAATCCTCTGTTTACTTAATCTGGCCCATGCAGATTTGAAACAATGCAGTTGCAATATTTGAATAGAAGAGATAGCAGTACCAAAGGGTAAAAAAAAGGAACGTATTTTTAGAGCACATGTAAACAAATAATGCAATCTAAGTGCGTCACGTGCAATTCGCACCAAACGCGCTGCCAACACTGCTTGCCCACACTTTTAAAATCACAGTTATACGCGCAAGACTGGTGGTCTACGCGTTTATATATCTGTGGCACAAAAGCAGAAAGGGACCGATTTGTCTGCCGCCACCATGTGTCTTAGAGTCTCCTATTGAGACAATCAGGAACCAAAACGTGGAGCACAAAACATGAAATGTTTTAGCTCGAGAGGGCACATTTTGTAATCATTTTCTCAGCAGCAGGATAGAATTCGTTTCGGCCGTTAATGTTCTCAGTAAACACCAGAAAACTCAAATAGCAAGCCGAAATTAGTTCGTACAATGCAAATGTTCTGGACTGGGTGCCCACTTGTAACTTTGTTGTCGACCTTGCCTTACGAAAGTTACAAAATAACCTTTAACATAATGGCTCGTTTAATTCATCAGCGTTCTACTTTGGCAGTACATGTATACAGATGAACTTATCGTAATACGGTTGAGAAAAATCGGTTATACTTCCTGGTTCCGAAGAGACCGTGCCAAGTTCATAATTCATAAAGGATTTTTAAATTTTGGCGGTGTTTGTTTACAGTCTCGGCTCCAATGTCAGACAGATGTTGGCAAGGAGTCAAATTGCAATGTGCATGTTCGCAGGCTCTCGACACCACGTGATGAAAGACAATGAGAAATGGGCAAGAAACACGATTCGAAGGCCTTAAAATTCCCTTTCGGGTGCCTCCCCTATTTCAATTTCGGTTTCTAACTGGCGGTCATTTCAACGATTTCCACTTGACGACTTCCCTTGAATCGACTCAAACAGCTGTAGAAAGTGGCGTATCCGGGTTTGGAAGGGGTATGCATGTTTGGCTTTTCAAAACCAATTGTCATGTTTTTTATACGTAAAAATATCCACAAACCCTAAAGTTGGTGGTATTGTCCTGGTTTGCAAGTGTTAGCGCTGCACCAAAAAAATAAATAAATAAATAAATAAAAATAAATAAATGTCTCCCTCTCTCCTTGGGAAGGCAAGTTACTTCCTCTCTCTCTCCCTTGCTGGACGCACTACTAGTTGTAGATAACCGTTTCAAATCTAGTGCAGCAGAACAAGGGTAACACAGTAAGCACCTCATGATTTGGTCAACGGTTTCCGCAACCGCTATCGCACCAGAGCTTAGTTAGTCAAAGGTGACTTTTGACCCAGGGTTCAGAAACTAGCAATCCGTGCGACTGGACACCGATTCACCAAGCTGTCGCCTGGGATCTAGTAGCAGATTCCAAAAGTGCTGGTGCGAGGTTGGACCACTCAAATTTCATGGTCTTGTTTTTGTTTTGTTTTGTGCAACATCGAAACAAGGAAGACATCGTGTGCGTTTCCTTCTATGCAACTTCTTTCCAAGAATGAAACGGCAACCTATACCTGGTGATTTCCGTCTCTGGCCGCTCAGGTCAAGAGCATCGTGACAGTATACGTGCACTTTGCCACAACTCGCTGCATCGTGCTGCCTTTCTAGTGCGGGTTAAAGTTCGGTGGTTTACAATTTTGGATGTGTTTTGTTTGACGGAAGAGGGAAAAAGTCTTTGCATGACGAGGTCGTGACACAGTTAATATCTCTGCAGCCGTATGACAGTGGTGCTGCATTACATTGCAAAAAGTCCTCAAGGTTATAGTTATTTATGTGTCGTGGGGGCGGGAGAAGGGTGGCAATTAACCTGGAAAAAAAGGAGTTGAATACACATTGACTAAAAGAGATGGCAGAGAGAAAAAAAAGAAGAAAAAACAAAATCACCAATTTGTTTGACAGTACCATGGAATTGGTCAACAGTTCTTGCCGCTTTAATAGTGTTGATGAGTGCTTTGTCCTTTTCCTTCGGAAAAACTTCTTGTGACGCCTGTGATCGTAAACACCATGAAATACCTAGGCCTATACGTTTTTACTTGTTAAATTTGTTAAAGGATAGGCCTAAAACGTGATTCAATCTGCATTATTAGCCATTCAGTTTTTCTCCTTTCTGTGGTGTGGTGTTGCTTCATGGCCACAAAGTTGCTAAACAACATTTTTTCTGGGGTAATGAAAATATGTGCCAAATTTCGGTGCACTGCAGTCGAGACCTGGAGCTCGTCCCACGCGCTCTTCCAGGGCACTGGGATTTGCTAATGGTCATGCTCCTTATCCAGAACTTTGTGAGGGAGGTAGAGTCGTCGCAAAGCCTTGTGGGTAAATAACTACATGTACGTTAATTTAACTGAGGCACCTACAATTATCGAAGATGCGTTACACTTGATACAACAGGTCAGTGTTTCACACGGACCAGACCCTTGGTCAGTGATCCAACGCTGGATCACTCCACATCCATGGAGCGGGATCTGAAGTTGGTATTAATCAACTAACTTCGGACCATTTCAAAGATTCGGACCACTGACCACGATACGGATCCACTCGAAACAAACCAGGCCCACAGGGGTGCAGGGAATGTTACGTGCGCGTTAATTTCGGATCCCGTTGCGCACAGGGAAACAACCTCCTGAGTATACGTAAATGTATACTTCTGGCCTGATCGAGAGCACGCTCTCGCTTACCCGTCAGCATAGAGCTATATTGAACCCCAGGGATGACAGAAAGAAATTCTAAAATACTTCCCTCCCACAAAGTTGGCTCTGGGTCCGCCCACAGACCTCGAGACAACATGTTTCAATTGCACAACAATACATACTGGTTAGGTTTTAAGACCTTGCCGATTCTAAGCATCGTTAATGCTTTTCTTTTCCGTAGCCAATCAGCCTGTGCACCCACTCTCTTTAAAACGATCCATGATTAATGTCGAGCAAAAAAAATGTTCTGATTGATCAGATGCGTACTACAGCAAAAGAATTTTTGCCATTAATAAATACAGTCTTAAAAAATGAAACTGAACAGTTTCTGTCCAAGTGTACGTGAACTATAAAAAAAAAGTCTCCGGTTTTTGGTAAGCGCGCGCGTCGTTGTAGACCTGCGCATTGGCAAAATAAAAAAGTTTTTTAGTTGGTATAAAACAATGTCCAAAAGCTGCCAAACTTCTTAATCGACTGGAATCCTGTTACAGAGTAATTTTAACGTGGTTTTGATGGGGGTACGGCTGAGTAATATGTACAGAAAAGGAGTCCCTGTAGTTCCCCATACATTTAGTCGGGCACTCTTTTTCAAATGACGTCACGTCGGTATTATACACTTACATCTGGGAACCAGGCAAACGAGGTGGTCGTATGTCCTGTGTACATGTACAAGCTGAAAATACTTTTGACCAGTAAAAGTGCATGCGGGGGCCAGTCTATTTTAGTTGGTTGGGCATGCAGTCGCGATGGACGTCGCGCGTTGTCGTACATACTTTCAAGAAGAAAAAAAAAGTGTGGGTTAAAAAAAGCCGCGTCGCAGCACCGCTTTTGGAGCCAGCTCCTGACCAGAAGCCGGAGACTTTTTAGGCCTTAGACCATGTTTGTGCCATGTTACGATGGCTGTATTTTAGAGGGACGTATGTGCTTCAATATCCACACACACACCGTGTGCGTCTTGCGCACCTCACAAGGATGAGTTAGGAAGTAAACGGATGTGGTGTGGTTATGAAGCCTTCAACGAAACACAACTTGCTTATAAAACAAAACCATGAAACACTTTCCGACCTGGATATCATTAAACAACTTTCTGAAATACACGTATATCAGATAAAAAGAAACATGTTGCCGAGTTAAGGCTTTCCGGGTTGTTTTCACAGCAGTCGCGTTGCCTGGTATTCATTGTTTTGTTTCCTCTTGGGACTTGGAAGTTTTGTCCCTTTGAGCTAAGAACTCCAAGACAATGGTTCGGGATATCGTTCTGTAAATACTTTTCAGTGTCCCAATTTCGCATAATCCATTTTCCCACCAGCGTTTTGATGTTGCTGCCCTCTATGACTGTGCATGCTTCAACCCTGGAACCCCGGCCCCCCGGCTATGATATGACTGCATTGGGAAAGAATTCAATATGCGGACGCCACTCGACGGCCTAAACAAAAACCCTATGAGTCTGCGTTTGCTAAGAGAATACCTCAATATTTTCTCTGCTCAGTTTTGACTTTCTAGGACATTTTCTATTGCTTTCAGATGGCTAACAGGCGCGTGCACGTGGTAAATTCACGACACCCTATTGGTCAAAGAGGAATGTAACGCGCGCGTACCACCTGTCCACGAGCGTTGAGCAGCCGCAGTAATGGCTGCTGGTTGGTCACTGAATTACATTTTAGTCATATCCCCAATTTCCAATCGATCTTTTCCTCGACGTTTCAGCAGGTTTCCAAACCGGGGTGAGGGAGGTTATAAGACAATCAATTCAAACCTTCATTTGAAGATCGAAGAATGAGGGGGTTTTGGATGAGGTGGGTTTGGGTTGGTGGGGGTACAGAGGCCTCTTTCTTTGTTGAAACAGTTAGAAAACTGAGATAGTCATTGATAGCGAAACAGGCAATGTACATGTTAACATAACGAGAACCTTCGTTAAATTTAAAGTATCTGCACAGACAAATAAGCTAAATAGTTGGACATAATGCAGCCACTTACAGCGAAAGTTTACAGAGCAGTCAACAGAATGGCCTTTCTGTTCGGCAGCACGAAGCACGAGAACAGTTGCCCTTTCGGTGCGTAAGGCAACGTCAGACCACAATTGGAGAGCGTTCAATCCCGAATGAGTGTGTGAATCTTGTCTTTTATTAAGGTGGGCCTACCTGTTGATCAATCTTCGCACGTACCAAACAACCAAACCAATACGCATTAAGGAACCTTTCTATATGCGCGTCAGCACTTGCGCCAAACGTATCCGTCAAAATTGCTCCCGGGGCGTTTCTGACAGCCGAACGCAACGCAGAGGTGTGTTGGGTTAAAGGAGTTGATTTTTGTGTTCGTGAAAGTACGAACGAACGTACATAATGGAAAGGTACTTTATGAGGGCTTCGTATATTATGAAGTCACAAATATACTTACAAACTGAATTAATTTATCGAATGCAAATTTATTGTGGCCCCGGAGGGACGTCGATAATCGTCAATATTTGCGACTCGCTCTTCAGTCGCGAATATTTCCCTCAATATTCACGACCAAATTCACGACTCCTTTTATCTCCGGTCGCAAATATTGCCGCGATTTTTTTCCATCAAGCTACAAGCAGAAATGAAGTGTTCACGCACACGCGCAATAACCTAGATTTTCCAGCTTGATCTCAAGTCGTTATTCAGCTGGACAGCTCGGCTGGCACAGCGTCAAAAAGTAATTGCTGTGTCTATGAGCTGATCAACTTCTCTTCCTACCTGGCTTGCTGGAAAAAAATCTCGGCAATGTTTGCGACTGGAAATACGAGTCGTGAATTTTGTTCGCAAACATTGACAGCAATAACAACAGTAACAACATGTATTTACAATTTCAAAAACGAGGAAATAACTTCATCTTATCAACCACAGCATAGTCAAATAATCTTTATTTAAAAAATCATAACTTTTATTATGCGATCATAAGCTTAACAATATTATCAAAACCGCATTTAATTTCATGAGGACTTGAAGAATGTGTATAACAGACGAATATTGGCACAAGTTAGCGATCTCCTCAAGACTTACAAGCAACTACTTACTCGCTTGCAGCATGCGCACAACGGACATGCTTGGATCAGGCGGAGCGGCATCAGCTGCGCCTGGAAAGGCGGCCACGGCTGCGGCCAGAAACAAGACCACGGGGCCGATCATCTTCGACAGTCAGGAGTTTTCTGGGCTCAAAGAATCGTTTGCGAAGTCGGTGTTAAGTTCGTGGTGTCTGATACCGAGAACGTGGCGCGCCCGCCTTTTATAAAGACATCTGACGTCGCTCGTGATGGCAGATGGCGTGTCGGGGCCTCCTGTGTTACTCAACCTAGTTTCGTTATGTGCGGAAATCACGTTGGACAAGGAAGTAAAATGGTGGCTATTATGTTTCGCTATGGAAAAACCCTTTCTTTCATTTTCTTCCTTATCATTGTTACGTGGTGTTGAACTCTAGCAGTTTGATCAATTAAATAAAATCTGTTTCGGGGACGGGGGGATCCTCGACTCCATGCGCTGCGTACGCGTTCCCTGATCGCGCAAGGTATGGTGGAACCTACATGGCGCGGCAAGATCGTACCCATGGGAACGAGGTTGGTGGGCTTGACACAGATGTATCTACATGTATCATATACTGTTTCACACGGAGTGGCTTATCCAGCTTTTGGTGGGGGGGGTACTCAAAGCGAATGCGGCTTCGGGCTTATTCAATAAGCTTGTGGGAAAAAAACTGTCTAAAGCCTTAGTCACGGTCCCGACATCCTTGTTTTTATGTTGTGGTCCCGACATCCTTGTTTTTGTGTTGTGGTGTTGTTTGTTTCGGTTTTAGTGCTTCCATTTGATAACTACCATAGGCCTATTGTTATTCATAATTATTTAATGAGAGAAATCCCTCAGGGGGCAGGTTGCCGCCCCAGGCCCCAGTCCCCCTCCCCCGCCGGATACGCCACTTCTTACACCCCAGCTTAGCCTTGCATCAAACAGCATTACATTTATTTGGATTGCAGGGAAAATCGACAAATACTTCAAATCCCGACAGTTTTCCCGTCACCAAATAAGGGGGGGGGAGGGATGATCCAAAAGTCCAGCCCCATCCAAAGCGCACGGATGAATATACACTTATACCCCCATATACCCCGCAATTCACGCCCTCCGCGTTCCCTTCACCAGCACCAACTGCCACGTAGGGGCGGACCCAGATTATGCATGATGGGGGGGGGTTGAGATGCATCTGGGACCGCAGTGGGAATGAGTTAACTTTTTGCGTTATCCCTACTATTCCCACTTTTGGGAATTGTTGAGTTTGCTTTTTTTTTTAGTTATTTTTTTGTAATAATAATTTGTGGAAATAGTGAAGAAATCAAATCAAAACCACCGTTGTCCTTTCAATATTTTGCTAACCATGGGAAGGGGTGGAACCCGTAACCTCCCCCGGTAAAAAGCATGGGACAAAATAAGAACCGAGGATGTTTAGTGGACATTCAAGTTAAATGTGGATGTTGTGTATACAGTGGCGTATAACACTTATCGTAAAATGCCAAAAAGCTATTCATTTTTTTAAAAGCGGGCAGGACTTCGGTCAATGCACGGAATGACGGAAGCTGACCACTGGCCTACGACTTAGTTACAGTGACAGCCTTTTAAAACCTCGATTAAACATGCAGAAATCGCCAAAACCAACATGAAGACTAAAGATTATGGTGAATGCAGGGTTTGCACGATAAGCCCTCTTGGAGGGCACTTTAGTCTTGTAAATGCGGCGACAAAGAGAGGACAAAGCTTTGCTGATGCATACCACGAGAGAACTAAAACCAGGCCGAACAGAGACACGCCTTGCTCGCTACCTTTGGGACGGTGGATACCTCTCGCTGACCACGCCAAGCTGGCATGCGTTGAAGTACGTACATTGTACGCCTTTCTTCCTGTTTCTACAGGAACAAGTTAACCATATTTAAACAGGACTTTTGCTTCCGCAGTTAGTATTTTCTCCAGGGTAGAAATGTCTTTCCCTTTCTTCCCGTTTTCCCAGAAGGATAAGCAATAAATTGGCAAAAGGAAAGCTACGTCACGTGCCCTTTGTCCTGAAAGGGGCCCAAGGTTTTTGGGCGTGTTTTGTGTTCGTTGGCATGTACTTCATCGCACCGTGCCCTCCATGACGCAGAGGCGAGTTTTACTGCAACCTGCACACTCGCGCTTCCATATATGCCTGCTGTTCAGTCCATTCCGATGACGCACTCATCGCTGGTTTACGAACGATTATCGGAACACAAGCACTGAAAGCTCGTCGCTACCGGTACTAACAAAATGAACACTCCCAACGTACATGGCTCTTTTCAACCGACGAGGGGGTGTTTCTGCTCGGGGCAGAATTGGCCGGGCTGCTGCCGTACCGAACTTACACTCTGAAGGCGAAAGAATCAAAAAGTCACTCTCAGAGTGAGCCCTCTATAAAACCACTCCGAGCGAGTGAGATTTCCACCCTGGCAATTATCGCAAGGAGCAATGTAAAGGATAACTCGAAAATGAGTTGTCCTTTATACGGCTCCTCTTTTAGAGTGATTGTTCACTTTCTTGATGTGGTTCTCATCCTTCTTAGATAGAGTGGCCTCCAGTCTTATGGAGTATATTTCATAAAGGAAACTCTTTTTCAACACGAGGGTTTCACTCTTTTACCGTTAAAAGTGTAAGGTTCGGCACGGCGTTGAGAGGCGATTCGGCACAGCAACTGCATTCGACATGGCAAGCCCTTTTTTACAGATCGATATAAGGTGTACGGCGCTATCAATCTCTAGATTCCAAAGAGTGAATATTCACTCTATTCGAGTGAAAATTCAATCCCTCCTATTGAAGTTAAGGACCAGACGAAATGGAGTGAAATTTCTTCACTCCAAAAGATTGAAATTTCACTCGAGCTTCCTCTGGACGGCGCTATTTTCAGCCTTTTTCAGTCTAAATGCAGAGTGATTTTCACTCTAAAACGTCTTGTCCTTAATTTCACTCTTTCCGATTTAGAGAGCAGTGTTCCGGCACAATACTGCTATATTAAAGCTCGGCCTTTTGCGGATAACTGCTACGCTATAGAGGGTTCGCATGGCTGCCATCTTAGTGCACGCCAGTGCTTTGTTCCACAGGATATCCCTGTGGAACAAAAGAAATGTCGTGCAAGATGGCTTCCGCGTTCAGCAGTAACAATGAAGTCAAGCTTTCTTTTGGGGGCTCGAAAAATCGCGCCCCACCACGTTCCCCTACGAAAGTGCACCTGTGAGCACTTGACATCGTCGCTAAAGATCTACTGTAGCTCTGCGTACTGACAATTTAACATTAAAAGATTAGTTTTTCAGCGCTTTAAATTTCTTAGGAATGCCATACCTCTTCTCCGCCAACCGCGCAAGACAAAAATCTAACACGCATAAAGATTTTGCATAAATAATGGCAAATGCGTGGAGAAGGTTAGGTGAGAGAACCTTTTACGGATAATATCTTGGAAAGGTGCACATTAAAAACCTTCTGTTTGGCGTTCATGGCTTTTTAAAGAAGAGAAAGAGTGCCAAAAATAAAACCCAAACAGAACATAATTTAAATACAAAAAGATTTTCTCATTCAAATGTTAAGTACAAAAAGTGCAGGACTTGAAAAATGCATGAAGTGAAAAAATAACCCACATTTTCATATTAATATTATCCACCATTCTCAGCAAAAGATGAATAAGTACATTTTCAACTTTTTAAAAGTGCCTCAGCTGGTTCCTTTTCCCTTGTCAAGGGCTGCCGTCCTGGCTCATGTTCAATACGGGCAGTTCACAATACAGTGCGCCACCAAGTGTACGCAGCAGACAGGCCACATTTCAAGTTTACGGTTGAGCGCACTTTAAAGTTTCCTGCGCAGAGCGCACTTAGCGAATGAGAGTTCTCCTCCTTCCTCCATGGTTTGTCGAATATTATCCCATAACGCACTACAAAAAGGTGTCTCTATGACAACCTCTTAGTGTCAACTGTGAATTGATGTAATCCATCGATTCAGTCGATCAGACTACTCAGCACTGTTAACAAAGAAAGCTTCAAATAGAAAATAGCCCCTGTTTGTAAGACCGATGTCAAAGCCAAGGACAGATTGAAATGATAATTGATGAAGGTGGAAGTCACTGTCTTCGGTATTTCGTGTTTGGAGTTTTTTGGTTTGGTGCTGCAGAGAAGGGGCAGTAGGTACATTTAACGACTTGATGTTTAAAAACATTAATTTGCAATAAAACAAAGCTTGAGCAGGAACACAATAAACAAAATTTCAAAACACCGATATAAAAACAGCAGCTACAAATATTCTATAGTTTTCAAAAATATTGCCCGGGATCAATTTCAAGATGATCAATTTAACTAAAATGTTCGTGCTGATATGAAAAATCTCATTAAAATTTGCATGCAGTTATCTTGCGTATGCTCATGACAGCGTTCATATTAAACTGTGTAGACACTGAAGTTTAAAAGCCAGATTAGGCCAATATCCTGCCAAATGAACAGCCTTGGCAGTGCACCAAAGAGGAAAAAATAACTGGATTTCTCTCTTTTAAAAATTACTGCTTTTCAAGGATGGTTCCCTCTTCAGGCAAATGCGAATGCGACGCATGTTTGATTTCACAAGCCCTTAACGGTAAATTTGTCACACCTCAAATGCATTAAACTTTAGCAAACTTGGGCGTGTGAAAGCTTGCCCAGGTGGAGCAGATCTGTGTTCATGTTTGCTGGTGAATGAGTGACTCAGATCTCATCAACAGGCAATGACCCACACTTGCTGTGACGCCTCACAAATTTGCTGTCGCAGTGGCTTTTGCGTTGAGAGGAAGACGCTTTATAATAAAACTCGGCATATTTACTTGGGGCATTTCGCCAGGTCCGTCTCTGGCCCGTCCACGTGGAAGCTTCCCGTCATCACGTTGGAGCTCGGATGTCCCCCGACGCTCCGCCCGGGCTGATGACCACCGACAAACACGCCAAAGCTCCCCGGCTGCAGGACCAAGCGGTCGGTGTAGGCCGCCCTCACCCGGGCGGGAATGGACAGGGTGACCGAGGTCATCTTTCCAGTGGCAATACTGACACGCTCGAAGGCCGCCAACTGGATCTTGGGCACGGGGACGGTCGCGTTGGCCCACTTGATGTATACTTGCACCACCTCAGAAAGCAAATTGCAAACGACTGTAAGAACACAGGCTACAAGTGCCACATGAGAATTTGTGAAGCAACTACATCATACCCGAGCTGAAAAATTATTGGAAAAGTCAAAGACATACCTCATCTCCTGAGTACTTGCCCACGTTTGCCAGCGTCACAGTCAACGTGACGTTGTCACAGGGCATGATGCGGTCTGGTTTCAACACCAGCTGTTTGTACTGGAACACTGTGTAGGAGAGTCCGTAGCCAAACTGGTAGAGCGGCGTGCCACTGAAGTAGCGATAGGTCCGGTCCACCATGGTATAGTTTGTCATTGGGGGCACCTGCAAAGAGAAAAATATGGGTAAGTATACTGACGGTGTATTCGGGTGGTGGTGAAATTGTGAAACTATGGGTCAAACAGTGGGGAAAACTTCAAAATGGGAACAGTTCCGATTAAATTGGAATCTTTGCCAGGTATGTACCTGGTCCATGGATGCTGGCCATGTGTAAGGTAGCCTCCCCGCTGGGTTGGCACCCTGCTCGTTGGTAAACATGTTCCTGATGGCCACACCGGTCGCCTGGGCCGGCAGGAAGCACTGAACGATCACTGGGACGTCGGGGCTGTTGACGGCCCAGGAGATGTCGAACGGTCCGGCGGTGAAGAGCAGCAAGACCACAGGCTTGCCACCAGCTGCGGATTGCAAGAGGCACAGGAACACACCTATGAATTCTTCTCGATGGGGTTCCAAGTCGTTAAATTTTTGTAAGGGGAGATAGCTGACCCGCAGTAGAATCGTTTGCAGGCCGGGGTTCATCAAGCATAGGTGAGAGCGTTGATTCAAGGTAACTATTGCAATTACATATTGCTTTGAAAGACTGGGCTTAATCGCTGCAGATGTGCAAATGTATATAGCAACTGTATATGTTCCCTCTAAATTGAAGTTTCAATTAAATCTGTCTTTGTGGGGCAGATCTATGGGGGGTTTCTGCCAGCTTCGAGGGGGTGAAACGAAAAGGCTCGTTTGAGGTCATCGTTTAAGACACAAGATTGCTTACCATATTTCACGGCATCTTGAAGAAGTTGCAGCTGGTGGCCGGGAAGGGCTAGATTTCTCCGGTCCAGTCCTTCGCTTTCTATTGATGTACCTGCAAGAAATCAAACGAAACCTTTTTTTTTAACTTGCTACTTCTGAGCAGTGCTTGAAGTGGAGTTACCAAAAAAATCCAGGCTCTAGGCGTGCACAGGTGTGATCGATGCGTTCAAACATCAAGCATGCCTCAACTCAATTCTAGCTGATGTTGCTACAAACGAGCTATTCCTCCATTCGTTTTGCACACATACAAAGTCAGGCAAAGTCTCCGCAGGATGAGAACGCTCCCCACAGCCTGTTGGGGTGGATATTACTGCACCCTGGGCACACCCCTTGCTGGATAGCTTAGTTGGTAGGGCATCTTATGCGGTGTTCCGGAGGTCGCATGTTCAAAATCCCCTCCATTCAATTTCTTGGGTCACCTTCATAATTTATAGCAAATGTAAAACCTGGTCAACTGATCACAGGTCAAGCAAAGTACATTGTACCTGAACCCAGGCAGACGATAACAAAATCAGCCCCGCTGACAGCCTGTAGGACACTGGACTGGTTGTACTCAGTGCACAGTGAACGGTTACAGCCGGCCGCAAAGCGTGTGGATTGGGCAATGCTGGCCAGACCTTGGAGTGGTGTGGTGATGTACTCGGGTAGGGAGTTTGGAGCATAGTCCCCAAAGAGTTGCTCTGAATTGTTGCCAAAGGGTCCAACAACCTACGTCAAAAATGATGAAGGACAAGAACAGAAAAAAAAACAATATTTTTTACGCCATGTTTACAAAATAATCTCAAGGGGAAATTTTGTCAATGTCCAAAAAGGAAAAGAATGGAAAATGTCATTGGAGGGCCAAAGTAAATCCTCATAGATCATTTTAATTTACTTCAATTCTAGAATTGTGGGGATTGAAAATTTGTTTCTACCATGTCTGTTCTGGATGGCAAAGTTTTATTGGGAAAATTTCACTGGTGGTAAAGAACTTTCAAGGAATTCTGTAAATGTTTATACACTTTCAACAGTTAGTTACCAACTACAAGCCAAAATTTTGATTGGTTTGTTGAATTTTGAAATTTTGAGTTAGTAGAGAAGATGTGTTGATGTAAGGGGAAACAAACATTCTTAAAATAGCGTCCCAGAAATGAGTTTGAAGGAAATTTGTGAACTCACCGCAAGCTTATTGATGCTCTTCAGGGGCAGCACGCCATCATTCCTGAGCAGGACAAAGCTCTGGACGGCCGCGTCCACGGCCAGGCTCCGGTGGCGCTCGCTCTCCACCACGTCATCCACGGTGAGCTTGGTGTAAGGGTTCCGGGCGGGAGGGTCAAACTCCCCCAGCCTCATCCTGGTGTAGAACAGGGGCCGCACCAGGGCGAAGACTTCGTCCGCACTGAGCAGCTGCTTCTCCACGGCCTCGGCGATGTGCAGGTAAACCACGTTCTTTAAAGGTAGATTGGACCCATTCTCATTTGGGCATTCGTTTTTTCTCTACTACATTTGGAGCGACAAAATTGCTAAAAATTGCCAAAAAACTTCAGCCAGCTGCTTAACAACCAATAAGCCTGAAGTTTTAGCTCTATACACCCGTAGTGTATATTTCAAGAAAGTGTACCAACATTTTTGGGTATTGTAATACGATTCAGAGATTGTCGTGTCACATTTTGATTTAAATTTTTGGGGGAGGTGGTACTCTACTTTAAAGTTGGAGAGCTCCAAGTTGAGCCCCGCTTTGACGCAGGCCACAGCAGTTTCCAGGGAGGTGTTGGTGTAGCGGTGGGCAAGGCGAATGAACTCCACGGCCAGCTCATCGCTGACCACGTAACCCTCAAAGCCAAACTGGTCACGGAGGATGTCTCGCAGGAATCTCGTGTTGGCACAGGCTGGTACTCCGTTGATGCTAGTGAAGAAAAAATTTTGATTTAGCAAATTGGACATAATGTGTGATCCCACTGAACGCACGTCCAAACCTTAACCTTCTCCTACAGTTTCTAGTTGTTCCCCTTCAGGATTCCGTTTCACAAATTGGTGGTGCCGTGTATTTCATTTTCTTCCTGCAAACAAACTGTCTAACGCTAGACCATACAAGTCTCAAATACCACCACTTTGCTCCAACAACATAAGTTGGAATTTGATTCTCGAGTCCCAGACAAAGACAAAGCCTGAACATGATCTCTTTCTCACCAGCGACAGAGTGTTAGTGCACCATGTCCTCTGAATTAGTAGACTTTGGTTTAGCAGAGAATTGCATTGGTTCATTTTCAAGTAACTAATACGGAAAGGATCAAAGAGATCACTCATGGATCTGGTCTTCCAACCTGTTGTAACTGCACATGATGCTGTAGCTTCCAGCCTTGACGCACTCATGAAACTGGGGTAGAAAGGTCATGAACAGGTCGCGGTCTGACACCTGAGGGAAAAGACAATCGAGTCACTGAGTACCAAAGAAAACCCTCAATTGTCACTGATAATGTATTGGTCTTTACAAGTCCTATGTCTAGATTTTTAGAGCTAAAAGCTCTATTTTCTGAGATTTCATCACAATTAGTTTGTTGCTAATCCCCTATGTACTCTTTTCCTTCCCATAGGGCCCACTTTGTAGGCAGGGCTTTGGGGGGGTGGTACCCAGTTTTCTGGATGGGGGCATCAATAGGTTTGGTTGTAGTTTCAAAGAATACAAAAAGCTCTTGGTCATGTGTCCTTCCAATTCTAAGCTGGGTAAAATGAGGTGGGGCAGATTTCAAAGAGGGGTGGGCGGTACATAGGCTTTGAAGATGGGGACGGGGAGGTGGTATCCTCTTAGAACTAACTGCCCAGAAGTATAAAAACAGGCACTAAAAAGCTGGGGTTAGTAACTTGTGGTGGACAAAGCGGCCTCATACCCAGGGAGACTAGAAATATCCTCAGTCATCAACTAAGACTGAAAACCACTGGCTTGATGGATGGCTGTGGATGGACTTCACCAAGGAAGCTGGGGCCATATTTCAGGATTACGGTTTAATGGGTCTCAGATGTTCCCTTCATGTCCCCCAGGCAGGAAATACTGACCTAGAACCACTCAAATGCTACACCAGTGCCTCATACATTTAAAGCCGTTGGCCTCGGTTTACCTCTGCGTTGAAAGAAAACCGTGATTGCGGGTAATTTTCGGGCCCTGCATAGGCGTCGAAGTGCTTGCAGCCAGCGTTGGCCAGGACGTAGCGTGGGTCGTTCCCCTGCAGTCCAGTCACAAAGGCCCTAGCCATTTCCCCGGTGAGAAAGGGATCTTCGCCGTATGTTTCCTAAGACAGCCAATCCAATTTATAAATCACTGAGATGTTCAGACTGCTTGCTTGTCTTTGGATGCAATCTTTGGACATAAATATGAAATACATGTATGTTCTACCATTCCGTGTAGCCCGGTTTTTTTTATCTTTGCAATTTCCCCACAAAAACCTTTGAGAGCTTTTCTTCCTTTGTCTGAAAAGTTTAGAAACAATTTATCAAGATGATAATAGGAGCTCAGTCCTGTAATTTGGAACACTTCTTCAAAAGTTCAAGCAAGGAGCATTTGTTAACTAATGTTAACAATTGATTTTGCCTAATACCAGGATATATTTGGGCATGGGTTACTGGGGAAAAATGACCAGCATTAGAAAGTGGTCCTCATTTGAACTTGGCCAATCCTCAGGTAACTTGAGAGCCTGGTTCTGATGAATACATGTAGCTCTGATGTTGCTTACCTGGTTGCGGCCCCACAGCGGGTGTCTCATGATGTTGATGACCGGGCTGAAACAGCTGAGGCCTCCGTGGGTCTTGTAGATTCCGTGCTTGGTGAAGTTGTTGTGCTTGGCTCGGACTTCGACCCCCGTCGCCTGGGCAACATCGTAAAGCAACTGGGTACTGCAGATGGTATTGACAAAACACCCCAGGAGACAAGTTTAGTGTCGATGAGCCTCAATTTTAATCCATCAACGCATGTGCATGAATGTGTTGGGGACAACCAACAGGTCAACATGATCACACGATTACGCTGGTGAAATACGAATAAAATCTGCCAATCCAATTGCTATATGTTGATTAGCTTTTCTTTCTTATTTAAAGCTGCAGAAGGTTGTTCGAAAAGGAAAACTGAAGTCCAAGTTTTCCCACAGGATCAATCAATCGCTCAGTGCGAGCCACTGATCAGGCACACAGCCTTATCACCAGCTTCAGGCATTAAGGGGGGCCACAGTACCAGCAAGGGGGGGGCTACATCACAGGAACAAAATATACTATGCTTTACCAATAGGGGGAAGCTTCTGCCAGGGCGGCGGGCCCCCTCACCCCTTCCTCCCCTTTGGCGACATGCCCGTCACATCACTGATCGCATCCCAGTGACAACACGGCACAGAATGATAAAAACAATGTAAAAACACTGAAAAGCAAGATTATGAAAAAAAGTTGCATCCTGACTCTGCTTTGGCAGCTGTGTACAAAGTCAAGGGAGTTAAAAAGACATTCAAAGTATTTCCGAACAAAATTGAAATCGCAGTAGTCCCAGATTCATGGCATTTCAGCAATTCTACAAATTGATAAAAATAGTGGCAGGATGTAGTCTTCCTTTTAAAAAAAAAAAGGGGGGGGGGCGGGGGAGTAATTGCAGAATACCCTGCCACTCTAATAAATTACCCCAGGAATGACTGGTTACATGGGTTAAAGGTGAAAATCCCTTGAGAAGAGTGACACTTTGACATGTACCTGGCTATGAGGTTGATCGTGTGGGGGTGGCGGGGTATGCTGCAATTGAGCTCTGCTTTCTAAATTCGGAAAGAGTTCCATACCTGTATAACGACCAGTGTTGTAGTCGAGACCATCATAAGACCAGACACAAGACCATGCACTAGACCAGACACAAACCAGTCGCAAGTAACAGTGTGAACAATGACAAAAGAATGCTTTTGTTGCAGTTCATTTAAATAGCTTGTGGCTTGAATTCAGACTTAGAGGTCTTGTGCTAATCTTGTGTGGTCTTGAAGGTCTTAAGTGGTCTCGACTACAACACTGATAACGACAACACTAATTTTCCCTTAAAATGTTATAACACTCCAGAAAGTGATAACATCATGTCCTGAAATGTGAACTTTAGGTGAGAAAATTCCAAAACATTTACTTAGAAAACACTTTTTCAGACAAGTTTCATACTTGTAGTTTGTGCACAGGGGCATTTGATGTTGTCCGTATTTAATGGAACTCTTTCCCAAAATTCTTTCTTTTTTACCTGAATGTTGCAGCCAGACCCAGCGCCTGAGGAAACGACGTCGCGTTCCCGGCTTCGACATCACCGCGCAAGCATTCCGTGTCCCAGTCGTACGGCCCGATGCCCAGCCGGGGGATGGGTGGGGCAGGACCGTTTGGCCCCGACCCGCCGCGCGCCATCTGCAGTGTCACATCGTCCAGGGTCAGCCGGGACAACAGGTCATCCAGTCGCTCGTCCCACGGCAGGGAATCGTTCCAGAAGGGGAAATTCTTGCCCTGAGTGCCTATGAGTGGCGGCACAGCGCCGACTAGGAGCACAAATAGGCCTACAACTGCGACTGGTTGTGATAAAAACATCATCATTCACTTTAGGCTCCGTTCAGTTAAACTTTTTTCAGTTATTCGTGCACTCTCGATGTCCTTTGGCGAGGAACCTCGCTATAGTATAATTAACACCACACGCTGTCAATACGCGTTCAGTGCCAACAAAGCAGCTGCACTACTGGCTCACAGATTTTCACCTACGCCCCCAGCAGATAAGAAACAGAAATTTATCACCACAGAGGAGGCCAATTTTGGCAGGCAAACTTAAAAGGGGACCGTCGCAACCCGCCCGAGCGCTGCATACATGTACATGTACAGTACAGCCTCGCCGTCTACGTAAATAACACACGTGTGCAAGTGACATCAATATTCTACGCCTCTCTAGCTAGCTACTCAGTGAGCGAGCGCAGCTAGCAAGCGGTCGATGTGAGTTTGAGCAGCTAGCCCCGCCAGGTATTTTTTACCTATCGAGTTAGCCACGCCCACTAGACAATCTTATTCCCCCACGCGCCCTGTGCCATTGTAATAAAGCAATGTTTCAATACTTGTTTCTTGTCCAGAGTGTCTTTTAAATATTTATTTTTATTCTTCGAATGAAAAATTACCTAAAATAGTAAAAAGTTATGTTGATGAGATCAGGGTTAATTAGTTAGTAGCCGGAGAACAAGAGAAAGAGATGTTTTGATGTTTCTCTATACCTTTTTTCCACCAAAACTGTGTATGAAATGAAACTTGTATTTTTCTCAGTTAAAAGTCTGGGTGTTCAGAGCAAAGATCGTATAGCGCCGCAAGATGGGGAACCACCATCGTAAATGTGCGTAAAACGTTGTTAATATAGAGATCAGTGGTTGTTATCGCATGGGCGCCATTCTGGTTGGACTACGTCACGCCTGCGCAGTGCATATTAATGCACAGGCGCAGGCGCTGCTACAGGCACACAGCTCGTACATGCCACATTAACGGTCGCACTCGAATGGCGCCCACCGGTGATAACACCTTTATTATATTACCCATCTTGCGCGCGCCGCTACGCGGCGCTATATATAATCTTTGGTTCAGAGCATGCGTTTTGATTACTTCATGAGAATAACATTTTTGTAATATTTTGACACGCAGTAGCATCCGACCAGTCTGGGAGCCAGTAGAGTCTGATGCGATTTTTATGAAAAACCGTACAGGTATCAATGTATTTTTTTCCTGTCAGGCCAAGTCTGCGGCCAACACATTACCAGTAATAACGACCGCGGCAGAAATATGATTTTTTTTAATTTATGCGTTACTATATTCCTTTTATTTTACTTGTGTGTAATTTGATCGCTTGTGATAAAAAGATTACCTTCGATCACGTTTTCCGAAACAAATTTGCCGACGACACAGAGGCCAGTAATAACTACAAAAATTTCCATTACCGCAGTGTCATTATAATTTGCTTGTGGATTTGATCAGCTTTGTTTGTTTTGTTGTTTTTAAGCAGTCGGCGTCCATTTTACATCAGCTTGAGGAAAAGGTACACACTCATGTTAGATCAATGTTCAATTACCTGTATTTGGACAAAGGTCAATCTAATGTACTCCAGATTAGTTCTAAAGACTAAACCATCATAATGAGCAAAGCACGCCTGGGTAATGTAAACCAAGTAGGCCTATTAGGCCAAAAAACTTCTCGGGTCAGACCAAAGTTTCAGAATTGACGCGACGATGCGTTTTTGTTTGTTTTTTATTTATTTATTTATTTTTAAGTTGGCTTTTTAAGACTGGCAACGAACACGGAAATGAGTGGCATTGCACGTCGCACGCCGGCGCCGCCATTGTTGATCAGCTCCGTATGATGCAAGATATGGCACGCCTTTGTGTTGGTCATTGTTTGATCGGAATCTCAGGAATTATGTACAGACTTCTAGGGGGATGTGTTAGTTGACAATAGTCTAGAGTGTGTATAGGGATTGGACATGTGAGGGGGGTACCCATCGGCCCCATATCGTGCACGGTATCATCAGCTGACTGCCACTTTGTAGCCTACCCGTGGTCTACTGTTTGTGTTCGACATCAACGTTAAGCAATTGAAACGGATTTATCACCGGGTACGAGCGACCCACTAATTAGTCTGGTTCCTTGAACAAATTTCCCTTCTGACTTATGGATTTGTGGCCGGGAATCAGTCTATTCAGGCGATACGGAAATAGAGGGCGCTGTTTTGAAAATTTTGAGGAAAAAAATTGAGAAAAAAATTGACGCGCATGTTCAAAACACTGATCAAAATCGACGCGCACTGACCAGAGACCGACTGTTTTGGGTTTTTTTTGGCCTTATGTGCATACAAGCGCGTAAAAAGACACAGACTGTTTTTTGTCTGTTATTTTGAGTCACAGTCATGCGAATCGATGACTTCATTGCTAGTAATTTTTAGAATACAACGACGTCGTCCCACCATTTTGTATAAAAGAATAACGTTTAAATGTTAAAGGGTGGGGGTATTGCTAGCTTCAATTGTAGAGTGTTTTTAACATTTTGTAAAATTATCACAATTTCCTTCTGCTGATGGCAACCCGTAGAGTGGGCATTGTACAAATCACCGCGTGATATATTATATAAGGAAAAAATTAATAACGGTAACATAGAAAAGGTCAAATTAACACGGGCAATACACTCGCCTTAATAACTTTCTGTCAACATGGTTTAATTTGCAAGTTTTTTTCACATCCAGGTGTGTGGATCGCGTTTACCTGTATGGCTAAGGTCGTTTGAATCAGATTCAGACACGATAGCCCACAAGCAGAAGGGCATCTGCTTTAACTCCACCCTGACCCTATCTGGAGCAGGTAAATTGGACAGGTCGTGAAAACATCAAACTAAGGCCCTTCATGAAACAACATGTCGTATATTGCTTAATCCGACTTACCAAAGCTAACCTGAGAGGGAACATGTTAATTCGATCGGTTTACGAAAATGTCTTACGGTAACCCCCCCCCAATAATGTCTTTGGTTTTCCTGAGCATTAAGGGGACATTCCCACAGGATCCTTTCATCAGTTGGCGGATCGGGGTGTTGGTTGACCAATGGGTACCATGCCTGGATTTCTGTAGCTAACAGGAACAGCATGTTTCTGTTTTCGAAACATCCACCCAGAGATGCATGGCAGTACTAACTTATTGTTTTTATTTCAATGTCTTTCACTTGCGAAACTTTGATTGTTTCAAGACCACATAATGTTTAGTGTGTAGACAATAACAGTGTCCGTTCACAACCACCGTAACTACACTTGTAACGTAAAGAAATGGATGGGATGTGTATGGTAATATAAACTTTTGTATAAAATTGAATAAAAAGACTGAAGAAGATTATATTTTCAACTATACTTGTAGTTTCTCAAGTCATTTTAACGTAATGACCGGAATCGAGTCACTAACCAAAAAAGTCGAGTCAAGTTTTTAGTTTGAGTCAATCCGAGTCACAAATATTTGAACACAAAACTGTGAAAACAAGGGAGAAAATTTTTAAGATCTACCTCTGAGTTTCTTTCTGATACTAAAACATCACATGAACGTTATAAGCCGCCACTCTAAGTCCATGGAAATATGTTTTTTTTTGCAAAGAAGTTTGCTTTTATGTTTTGGATTTAGCTTAAGTCTTATACACTTTCCCTCGAGTCAGGTCTTCTGCAGATGCGGGACTCGAGTCGAGTCATTTACTAATTGAATTAAGCGCCAAAAGTTGTGACTTGAGTCGGACTTGAGTTGAGATTATCGACTCGAGTCATTAAAATATTCACTTTAAAAAAGTTCAACAATAATTTTAAGACCAAACATTAACGTCTTGCGACTGTTCTTGCTAGGTGTACAGGAAAACATGAGCTACCAAAACTGGGCTTGGGCTTGTCGGCGGGAGATCACTCCTTCCCATTCAGGTTCCGCCTGCCTACCAACAAGCTTCTGCTCCCCTCCTTCGAGGGCGACTACGGCTGTATCCGCTACCGGGCCAAGGCGACACTCTGCGTCTACTGGACAATCTTCAACAAGGAGCGCTCCTCGTTGAGCGCTTTCGGCGTGAGCGGACCGACGGTGAACCCAACCTCTTTCCCCAATTAAAACTCGGGGTAAGTTGTCCACGCGATAACTCTCTTCCAAGGTTCACTCTTTGTGTAACTTTACAGTTGTCCTTCATGTATGAAAACTGGGGTCCTTTTGTGTTAAGTCCCAGTTGTTGCTGATTTGTTTTAAATGGCGCTTTCAGCTACTCTGGCTATTTGCGCCAATAACTATACGTTTATTTATCTCATTACGGAGACTGGGAAGAAGGTCCAGTTTTAGAGGCAGGAGAAAACCGGAGTACCCGGAGAAAACCTGTTAAAGCGAGTATGGACTGGAAACCAAAATTTGTACTTAAAGCTTGGTTCTCAGTATTGCATGCGTTAAGTGTATAGAAAAGTACACTTTTATAACAAAAAAGCAACGTTACAAAATATATATATATAAAAATCCGGGAGTATTTCATGCACAAATCCATGCAACATTTGAGCTTTTCTCTTCAGGATCACATGGCAGTTTTACACAGTTGAATATGGAAATTTGAATCAGTATGAACAATCAAAGAGGCGCCAAGATATGAGTTGAAAAATAACAAACTAAATATAAAACTAGAGTTAGCTGAAACACCAAAGTGCATTTTCAAGGATTGTGACAAAAAACAGCAAAACTTTCAGTGCACGAATCCTTAGTTAATATCTTACTTCTCTCGCCCGTTCAAGTTCATCGGCATACAAAGTGACGTCCCCTGTTAAACTTGGTGCTCCTGCATGTCTTTCAATTTCTTCATTACGTTTCTGGTGTGACAGTTTGACCAAACTTACGCAGATATTCTGGAGAGTACCAGAAAACTCTGTATATTCAGATCTGTTAGAGTAGAAATCTCCTTTGACACTATCCAATGAGGAATTTTGTTTGAGACAAGTGTGCTCCTGTTTTTTTTTTAAATGTGCACCGTTACACTGAAAAATTGCCTGGGTTAAATTTTAACCCAAGGAAGGGTGAAAACTGCAACTACCCAAATATGCGCTGTGTTAACCCAACTTGGGTTGAGAACTGCTTTCTGTTTCAGTTTTCACCCACAAAATGAGTGTATATTAACCGTTGTTGAAAAAACCTGAACTTGCACCCGAAAGTGACTCTAAAAAACCCATTGCGCTGATTCTCTAAGTTCTGTTTAAAACAGACAAAGAATCGGTAGTTTTTATTTGACTTCGTCATGTATGATATGGCACGTACTTTGGAGATAATATTATATAATTTCCTGATGATATGAATCAATATTTTGTGATGTCTTCATACCGATAATCGATATCGCTCGGTTACCTCGTGTTTATAACTACAGATATGTCCCGTCCAGCTCAGAAATGTATTTACTCTGATTACCATTTCCGCTCTGTAATGACCGCTTTACTCGCAAATGACTCGCGCGTGATTATCATTCCACGGTTTGAGTCACACCCAAAGTACACCTTGTTATTTGCGTGTGACTTGAAATGAGTTTTGACACACTGGTGCGCGTTGTGTCATACAAATTAAAGTCCGATATACGTCTACATACCAGTGAGAAAGCGGTTGATGTCGAGAATAACACGAAATGATGTAAGTGCAACTCGGGATTGCGATAGACTGATAAGGCATTTTAAATTCGTGCTCTCTTCAGAAATTTATTGTACCAGTGTCTTCATAGCCTAAATTTTTATAGAGAGAAAAAATTCCCCTGATCCCTTGGCGAGATGCGTGACGCTAGTTCATTGGTCATTCAGGGTGAACTGAATAATTCAAGCCCCATTGAAAACAGTGTTTGGAGCCCCTCAGGCCTCTCACACAAAAAATAATGTGTTGTTATGCCCTTCGGGTGTCACTTGTTGGACTTTCAAATGTTAGTAGGTTAACCAGTTAAATTTTTATTACCCACCAAAACCACACTAAACCCCTGCCCAAAGTGAACGTTTCCAAGTCCGTCAGCAGCCATTTTTAAAACGACGTTCCTCCACTTTTTCAGGCTCTTCGGACAACTTTTCAATAGTATTTGTGTCTGCTGTGCCCTCGGATGGGAGCAGCTAAATCTAGGGAGTTAATTTTGGGCCATACTTACATAATCTCACAATTTATTGGGCCACTCAAACTCCTCTTTTCAAAGAAATTGTAGGGGTACTCTTTGAGCGCCCCGTTCGGCGTAGAATTCGCCTTGAATTGGGACAGTGCTTCCCTACGTCAAGTGATCACCTGACATTCTTTAATCTTTATTTTTAGTACATTACGTCATGAAGTCATGTGAGTATTGCAACGTGACCGGAGGAGTTTGTACCAGTAAAAAATAGACAAAATGCTTATGGAAAGCTATTCCTGACGATGGAAGTTCCTACTTCCATGCCCTGATTGTCTGTTATATTCCACCGTGTTTGCTATAAAAGGAACCAGTATGATGCCTGGTGTCTCATTACGTCGTGCTTAATTATTTTCCTACCTTCAGACGCGACGTAGGCCTACATCAAGTACATGTAGCTTAGCTTAGTTAGCACTGATTCAGTGATTGACTTAGCGGGTGATTTCGATGCAAAGTTCCGTCACTTCCGTAATACATAAAAAGTTTAAGACAGAAATACTGGAACAATAGGCTATATATATGACATAATGAGCAAACCCAGTCTGTGCATATTTTTCGACAAGGTGGGAGCCGTGTACTCCCGTGATGACATCATTTCAGGAAAGGTGAAAGTAAAAGTTGGCAACCAGGGCTTGGAGAACATTAAAGGTAGGACAAGTTGGATTGCCTGGACCATTACTTAAAGCCCGTAGAATGGTAGAATCGTACATCATGCATGTGAAGAGAATGTTGTATCCTGACTGCACGTCAGCGGTTGAATGCAAAGTCTATGGGAGTCAATTTCCTCTCAAACTTGGAAATTTTGCTCAGTCCCAAACTCACGTGTTTTCTTCATTTTTGCAATCATATTATATGATGAAAAAAGTGGAGGCAGGAAGCAGCATTCTAAATTCCACAAATTATACCCTGCTTTAACCTCACCTCTGCTTGTTCCCTGTAAAAGAATTCCTAATACAGACACTGCCACACTGATGTTTCCCTGCAGTTACCTGTTTGCCATTTGGAAGCAATAAAATGACATAAAAAGTCAAATTTAGCAGGGAAGACATTGAGGTATTCAACATAAAAAAGGCTTAGAATTTTTCGGATCAGTCTCACCATGCTCACATGGTTTGTGCACATGGCTTACGTTTATGGAACAATTTCCTTTCCCTGTCTGTCCCTTGTCACTCCTGCAACTTGGTACTTAGAAACATGTAAACAGGACCCTGTGTTTACTCCTCTGTTGCAATACAAAGGGGACCATTTTATGTGTCAACTTGATACTGAACCCCATTTTTTTGCCTAACACTCAAATTCTGGAGCGATGAGCCCCACAGTCTACAGGTGCTATTACCTTGGGTGAAACCAAGAAATTCTGAAATGGCCCCATTGAGAACATGGGCCGTTTGAAACGAGTTCTAGACACGGACGTCACTTGACAAGCTTTGCATAAACCCTTGTGAAACTGGTCTGAAGCATTGCGAGTGCATTCCGAGTAAATATTTTCCACTACTTTCCCAGCAGAATTGATTTGTTAGGACATGTTATCACTTTCTGATAACGCAGTGGCAGGGAAAAAAATTAGCGATGTGAATGGAACTCTCGGTGGCAATTTTTTTCACCACAATTGGGCACTTTTCAGCATTTTCTCTGCAAATGACCTCTGTATGGATATCCTCAGGTGTGTGGATTCAGTTCACCTGTACTGCCTGGGTGAAAATCAGTTCAAGCTATGACAATGAAGACCACGAGCAGAGGCATCAGTACCTCAACTCCACTCTTTGTGTTTTTGGAGCAAGTAAGTTGATGGGCTTTCCCCAAAAATTGACCGAACCCTTGAATTCATTTTATCACTACTGTAATTTCTGTTGCCTTTGAAGTGAATTGGGAACTTGTTAGAGGCTGCTGTCTCTAGTTTGTCATATTGGTCTTTGAACTAATTCTTCTTTGCTTTTGAACGTGTAATTTTTTATTGGATTCACGTATTATAAATAAACAATGCCATTTTTAAGTTAACAGATCATTTATTGGGAGATATGCATTTGGAACCGTTGATATTTGTGCACATCTATTTCCAAGCCTTAAAAAGTGTTATAACAAACTGAACTTTCCACGTGAAATTTCTTTTGCAAAATTAGTCTTAAACTCTGTAATAAAAAGAAACAAACACACACAAAAGTTAGCCATATTTTGTTCTCTGATAGGAAAAAGTGAATCGGCAAAACCGGGCTTGACTCTGTCCGCAGGAGATCACTCCTTCCCGTTCAAGTTCCGCCTCCCTAACGACAAACCCCTCCCTGCCCCCTTCGAGGGCGTCCACGGCTATGTCCGCTACCGGGCCAAGGCGACCCTCTGCATCAATCGGGTAATCCTCAATAAGGAGCACTCCACCGAGAGAGCGTTCAGCATGCATGGACCGACAGTGGACCTCAACAGCATGCCCAGGTTAAATCTCAAGGTTTGTCCTAAAAAATTTCATTTACTACTCAACAATCACCAATGCGCCCTAACGTGGTACAGTTGCATTTATGTTTTCTTAGTTCAACTCTTTTGCTCTCGAACTCAGATTTTTAGAAGACAGAAAGCCTATTACTTCTGTCACAAATTGGGACTGTCTAGTTCGTCATCTCTTAAGAATGATTTGTAATTTCACTTCAAAAGCAAATTTAAACTGTTCAGAATTAAATGTTTAGGAATAGATGTTCACAATTAGTGTAGGTTTTGCGTTAATCGGCTTTGCATCAGACACTTGATTTTTATTCCAGAAGAAAATCGTCTAGAACTCTTTATACCCAAAACAAGGAAATCAACAGGGATTCTTTATTCCTTCTAAGAAAGTCAGACTAGTTTTTCGGAAGTAGGGCACAAGGGGAAAGTCAAATGTCAATCAGTGTCCAGCATTTACTTATAATTTTTCTCGCATAGGCTCCAGTAAGTTGCAGGACCGACGTTCGCAACCTGTTCGGACTTGGCATGACCACCGGCACGGACGTCACCTTTTGCCTCCCCAAGAGAGGCTACATCCCCGGCGAGAATGTCATTGTGACTGGTCATGTGAACAACGCAAGCGGGAAAGAGCAGCGAAATATCGAAGTGGCCCTTATCCAGGTAAGTTGTGGTATTGCATCGAGACAAAAACTGGCCAAAAGCCAATTGACCATCTGATAATCATTGGCAATGTACGAATGCTGTGTAAAACCCTTGTTGTACAAGATAATGGAAGTGATTTCCTGCCGACGACCGACCCCTTTACAGTGTGTAAGTTGCCATGCGTTCAAATCGAGGATAAAACACTAGGGGATTCACTGTCCTCTGAAGGAGGCCTTTTCTTGAAAATGGCCCTCGAACTCACAAGTAGGCTAGGGGGGGAGGAACCAACTGGGGCCATGGCCCCTCCAAAAAAGTGGCAAGTTTTTTATTTTTGAAAAAAAAAATGAAAGGCAGTTTTTGGAAAGATATCATTTCCCTGCCTTCCAAAAAGTGAAAAAGTGTCAAAATTTTACCTCGCACTCAGAAAGGCCGCAAAAGTTCAAGAAATTCCCAAATTTTGGGGCTCTTAAAAAAAGTTGGCCCTCCCCCCCCGATAAGTTGCGTCCAGATCCACCCTTGTACTCCCACGACATTGTGTGCACCCCGTCCTCTGACTGAATCTCAATGTACGGTTGTGTAGTGATTTCTGTTCTCATTTCGTTCCATTTTCTTGAACCTTTTCCATGACTGAAGGAAACGACCTACAGAGTCAAGGAGTTTCTGGTGGATGCCACAAACGTCCACAACAGGAGACTGTCGAGGTCATTCGGCAGTGTCGCGTGTCCTCAGGGCAAGGTGACGCCCTTCAGAATGAAGGCCCTGCATATCCCACCCAGCGTGCCGGCCTCGGGAATGCCTGGTTGCCAGATGATTAACGTCCAGTATTACGTCAAGGTAAGCAACACTTACAGCCTGGAAAATAGCCTGTAAAAAAATAACATAAAAAATAACCAACCTATCAAGATGGAGCCCTCTGTCTTATGAGCACGGTGAATTTAATTTTGTCTGTTATATTTGGCTTGTGGTTTTCAAACCACTAAGCACCAGATCTAGCAACATGATCTGGCTGTACGCAGGTGCAGCTGGTAGGTAACCCGCAAAGAGCCGGGTTGTTTGGGACCATATCACAGTTGGAGTACCCCAAGAACTCGGCTGTCCCATGCATGATTATTTTAACATTTAGCAAGCAAGTGAAGACACTCCTTATCAGTACCATTGTGAATTTTTAACTTAATCGGACATGTGGCATTGCCGTTGTGGATGAGTGCCTTGGCTCATCTTCAGCTGATACCCCATGTATTTTGTACTCGAACAAAATCTGAGAAGTCTGCATGGAGGTGGCCTGTGTAGGAGTAGGTGCATATTATCAAGTTGTTCAGATCAAACTAAAAGTGGATACGAATTCAACATTTTCCCCCCCAGTGCAATACATCAGGCTGCATTGAAACACTGTTCCGGTTAACGGTTGGCACGGTACCACTCCGTGATGTGGCTGCCCCGGCAGTACCACCTGCAGTGGATGCAATACCATCGGCACCTCAGCTGGACAAAGCAAACACAGGGGCTCATCAGATTCCATGTCCTCCAGTTGTAAATGGTGAGAAGACATGAGCATTAAAGGGTCTGTGTAATGGATTTGAAATAGGCATTGTTGCCTGCGGCTATGGCTATCTTCCTTGATGGGGTTGTGTTTATGACAAAAACTGTCGCAGCCACAAAATACCTGATCCAAGAATGATGATGGACTGCAAAGGATTTTGGAAATGTGACAATATGTCACTGTGAGCTTGACAAAAGGGAGTTGTCATTTTGAAAAACACCCCTCACATTGTAAAAGCTTGATTGTTAGGCAGATATTATAGAGAAGCTGATTTGTAAGTGACAGGTATTTTAATTCACGGGGAAAATGAAAGATATCAACCAAAATGCTTGATTGAACAAATGATTTAAGTCCTGACCTGTTTTTCTATGTCCATCATGTCCTCATAGGTTTGGCCTCCCGTTTTGATGACGCCCCACCAACGTATGAGGAGGCCATTGGCAGCCGAACGACGTTAACCAACGGTGTCAAACACTGATGACCTTTTCTAATGTTTGATAATTTCTGGTGGCAGTCACACAATCACACATTCACTAAGGATGGAGGAGGCGGTGTTAACAGACAGTGTGGGAGGCCTGAGAGCTGCCTCAAATGGATGTGAACCTCAACATGTATATGGGGGCATTTTTAGAAAAAAATTCCCGCTGTAAAGTGTTTAAATAACCAGTTTAGAAGGAGGAAGAAGGAAAAGACATTGAATTTTTTTTTTTAAATTGAAAGAGTGGGAGTTCTCTGACTTGTAAAACAGTAATTAAAGAGCTGTGCAACATGTACAGTTGAACCTCGTTAATAAGAGCACTGTTAATACAATATTCTGCTTGAGACAAGGACGTTTTTAAGTCCCGATTCTTTCTTTTTTCATTGTTTTCATTTCTGTTATATCAAAGTAATTTGCCAAAGGACCTCGTGTTAACGAGTTTTGACTGTAATCCACACTAAGTGAAATTAGAAGAACAATCAACTATTCGAAGATGTCATCAGCGGGACATCTGTGCCCTCCGTTTCTGCCCTGTTGACTGTCATTTCTTCACAAACATTTTAATTGTTACTTTCTTCAGCATTCATAAATACCTAAAATAGTTTAGCCATTCCTATTGGTCGATGGAGAACCAAGTCTTAAACGAACATTTACGAATAAGACTGGCCAAGTACATATTTATTATTTCCCTTAGTTTTGCGAGAATGAAAGTTGCCAACCAATATTAAAAATTTAAAGCAGTATGGATGGAGGATTTTGTACAAATTAGTGTAAGCTGTACCGATATACCTTCATACTTTATCAAGAAATATTCCATTTTTAAAATTTTATTTTTAAATTATACAAACAGCTATTTCATATGTGAAAACTTATTAACTGCAATATGTTTATTCTTTAATAAATTGAATTTGAGTTTTTCTTTTAGTTTTGTGGAGCATTTTGTTTGGTCATTCTGTTTCTGGTTGGCTTTTTTTGTATCCTTTCTGTTAGATTGTTTCATGCAATTTGCAGCCACCTAACTTAAGAGGCGCTACGCATGTACAAGACCTCACTAGTGCATTGCCAAACTGGAATTTATTTGAATCGATTTTAGCTGTCAAACTCATTTGCTTTGAAAAATCTAGAAAGAAATTCAAGAACTGTTTTAGGAAGACAAAAAGAACATGTTTGTTGTTTTGCTGACAGGGACCAAAAGAAAATGTTGGGCTTTGTTTGGTTTTTGAAATTCATTTAGTTCCAAGCTGGCACAATAAAAGTGCGGGCGCTAATTATTTCTTGGTTGCAACCAGACATCATAGGCCGTTTTCGAATACTCGACTTGGGCTCCGTCGCAGCTTCACATGTTTTTTACTTCCAGACTTTGAGTTTGTAAGCGCAATAGTAAGTCTGATAATGCCACAAAAGATCAAGTAAGATGCAAAAGAGCCAAATATTACAGTATTTCAATTTAAGTTAAACGCTTCAGGCCCACAATCGGAGATTGGTTTCCTATATGAAGGCTGCGACGGAGACGAAGTTGAGTATTGGAAAACGGCCAAAGTGGGGTCGCAACTGGTCGCAAAATAGAGCGCCACCAATATTTCGACAACTTTGCAAAACTCTTGCATCGATTTGGAAAGGTGATACATGTATTTACACACTGAACAACAAATTTAAATTTTTCTTCGTGTTTTGTGTATGTATAAGTAAAATTTAATCCTTTCGTAAAAGAACAAATATTATTCAGTTGAGTTAATCAATTAGCTGCCACTTGTATTGTAAAAATTGCGCCAGGAGCGAAATAAACTGAAAGATTAAAAAACGAAAGATCTTATTGGCTTTTGTCGAGCAATTCCTGTCAGTTCGCCAGAATAAGCCAATCAGAGAAGGCCTCGGTAAAAGCTCCATGACAATGTCATGTTTACGTCTGGCGTGCAGTGTAGTGAAAGCGTGAACAGGGCATGCCGAGTTTTGTTAATATATTATTTCATCGTTTACTGTAATTTTTTGAGGACCCTAGACAAGGAGTGGGATGAGTGACAGTCGGAGAAGACGGAGCAGTAACGGGGCGAAGCAGAGGTTCGGAAATGGGGCTAGCGAAGGAGACTCTACAACTGGGAACAGGCATGACAGGATGAGTTCGAAGCCTCCATTTTCTCCTGGGCACGGCCATGCCTATGCTGGTGGTGGGCATGGTGGGGGAAATTCGTCGAGCATGTCAAGTACATGTAGGTCCGGCATGTCCGGTGAACGTGAAAGGAGCAACTCTGGCAAGTCGGGCAGTTCTGCCCCCTCGACTCCTCGAGGGAAGTCCTTTAATTCAAAGGTTAGATGCCTCCCTTTCGTCAATAGCTGCCATTATTAAACACCTGTTAACAAATGGTTAAGACAAAAGTTTTCAATAATAAAATGTCATGTCATGCCCTTAATTGATAATTCAAATTGCTTTGACGTAAATGTAAAATGGTCATTTAACAATAAATAACAGGAAATTGGTCATTGTTGCACATATTCATGTATCATGACTAACGTAACATGGCAGCTTCTCTTTGCATTTAGGCCTAGGCTAGTAGGCCTAGTACTAAGGCATAAAAAAATAATTTTGGAAGTTCAGAGGCCCAGGTGGACTCCCTTACCATAATAATAATTTATTCATTTATAAAGCGCAAATTTCATATAGATATATGTTCAAATGCGCTGTTCAATGAAGACATTAAGCATGGAACAATGAATATAGTTGAGCCGATGGCATACAAGGGCGCCTCGGGCAGCCGCCAAATGACCCATATTCACCAACATCAGTAAAGAGGAGACAGTAAGAAGCAGTTGCAGTTTTAGAGGTGGGAGGAAAACCCCAGAGGAATGTTCTAGGTAAAACCCACGGAGTCAGGTAGGGACTGAAAACCCAATCCACATGTGGACCGGGCCGGGAATCGAACCCGGGACCACAGAGGTGAAAGGCAAGGAAAGAACTACCTTGCCAACCTGACTACTACGTTATGGAGGGAGTCCAGGAGGTGCACAATCGGGCGAACAATTTATAACTAAAATTTGCAACATTTCTACCTTTTCCAAGGAGCCAAGTTCACGTCTGTAACTCCTATGTGTCCTTATCTCCATGGCTGGTGGGTTAAGCAATTTGACATATCACCACCAAAGACAAAAACGGGAAAATAAAGTCGGACGTAACGTTAATTCTGGCCATTGTTGTGGACTGTTTTCAGCCATCCTCGAGTGCAGTTCGTACGGTGTGCATGCGCAACTACATGTACCTGGCTCACGAGATTCCAAGCTGCGTACACACTAATCAAAACTACATGTTCTGACTGGAACCAGCAGAACTGAAGTCTGACCAAATCCACTGGTAGAAAAGGAAAGGCCGATCAACAGAACGATTTGTGCGTGATCGCTACTTACCGCACGTGCGCACACCAGTATTGCCTCTGCATACTGTGTTCCCGATCAGTATAGCATCGCTCTCGCCTGTTCATCACAATCATCATGCCCGCAATGTAATCCTCTTTTTATTCTTCAATTATCAAGATAAGTTACTGTTTCATTTTAATAAAAACTGGATCTCTACAATATTGTGTATTTACATGTATATATCTTTAACCAATAGAACTCTACAAACAAATTAAACATGTTCAACACTTCAAAGAGAGATTGTTGATGAAGTTCCTCCCATACAACTACATGTACATGGACAAGAACCCTGCATATACAAAGCCTTCTTCACTAACCAAGGTTATGCTTATAAAAGAGCAGGTTGTGTTGCAAATTTATGTTTATAAACCGAAATTTAAAGCAGAGCAAAATATGAACATTTTAGGGGTAACCGATAGTGGGTTAAATGGTCAGTCTGAAGCCCCCAATCCGACAAAAACGGAACTGTATTTTTTATATCTGCTCGGTGGCAGGCGGGTTAAAGTACCAGTCACAGCCTCAGTGTAGCAGGCAAGCAACAGACCTTCACTGGAAATCGCGCACTTGTAGTTCGTGCACGCAGCTCAGATTCGTGTACTGTAGGTGCGTGCACTTTACAAGTAGACTCAAGAAAGGATGAATTACGTCTACAAAAGTAACGTTTTCTCTAACTTATTTTCCTCAATTTTGCAGTCCATGGTTTGTTTTGAAATTCCTAAACCCCCAGACATGCCAGACGCATAGATAAGGCCACAAAGAACTTGTTGTAAGCGTGAAAAATTAGTTTCTTCAACAAGATAAACCTAGAACAAATTAGAACCCAAGTTGTGGTTGTTTTGTTCACAACTTTTATGCCCTGGACGTCAGTCGTAATGAAATGAAGACAACGTCCAACCTGGGCTAGGATATAACCAGCTCAGTTGCAGAATACCCCCCTACCCTGTAGGATCAACCTCATAGCCAGGAACAGGTCAAAGTGTCACACTCTTCTCAAGGGATTTTCACCTTGTACCCGCGTAACCAGTCATTCCTGGGGTCGTTTTTTAGTGTGGCTGGGTATTCTGCAGTTACTCCGTATAACTGATTAAGCTTAAAGCAGGCCTAAGTTAGATGTCATTCTTGGCCAAAAACTACGGCCATCTGCCTGAAATTCATGTACGTGTACATGTATTCGTACCGGTCAACTGGAAGGCCTACCTTGTCACACTGACTGCTTACATTTTCATTGAAAAGAAATTCATTTATTCCCCAGTTTGAGGTACATTTGTTTTTAAGTCATAGTCTTAACCTGCTGACAGGCCGATGTTTGGATGGATGTGAAACATTTTCTCTCAGATTTCTGCCGTTGTGCATTTTACTGTCATGACACGTACATGTACATGTACATGTATACATGTAGATAGGTGGATTTTCCAAGTCTTGACTTTGTTGTTGTGACCCGATCGACATTGTTCAGGGAAAAAAAATCTCCCTGGTTTGAAAAATAAAAGAATGCCCAAAACAGTAAAGCACATGTACATGTGTGTATTCCAGGGCACCTACATGTACATTTACATGTGTGTATTCCAGGGCACCTACATGTACATGTACCGGTATGAAGCATTCTGTAGTCTGCCTGCTTTCATTTGTTTCTAAAATGAACTGACAAAAGTCACTGCATCAGTTTGATCATGCTGTAGTTTGGATCCTTCAGTTGTCTGTTGACCTTCAAAAAGACAGCGGGCTTACTTTTCTCATGTTTGTAGATGGCTGTGATATCTGATGCAGTGCATATTGACAATGGATTTAGATCTTCTGTTTGCTCATTTGGTACATGTGTATGATAAGACCTGCTCAATTACAGCACTAAATGAATCTACATGTAGGTGTGGTACCTGTTGAGTATTAAAGTACAGAGTGCTGGCGCATGACCCATTTATACACATCTGTATGTTAGACTGTACGTATGTTTCAAACAATTGGTAATGTTAACGTGACTACTCAAGTACCTAGCATACGAGAAGCGCTACATTGTATAGTATGCATGAAGTAAATGTTCAGCCATCAGCACTGGTCATCATGGTCATGGTGATGTGGACAGCCGTCAGATCTCTGAATGTACACCTACAATCTCTGAAGTGACTGTGAATTTCAACAGTCTGTTAAGCGCAGCAAGTTGCTTCCATTTGAAAATGTTGAAGCTGTGTGCATGCATCACATGTAACACATTTCAATCGTTCATCACATCTTTTACCAAGCTACTCGTTGGAATTTAGGAAAGAACTGAGGCGTCCCAGTCTTCTCTGAAGTCTCTGTTATTTTGTGGAATCGGCAGCAAAGTACTCTAAATTTGAAGCAGAGGTGAATTCTTCAGTCTGATCGGTTAACAGTCTCACAACTTCCAGAACAGTCAATCCATGCTCCGTGACTGTTAGTGCTGTCCCATTGTTGTGCAGCATGGGTGATGTCATAGCTATATTTCACCTTGATCTCCAGTGACTCATGGAGCTGTAATCTGGGGAGACGTGGAAGTGAGACCAGCCCAGGGACGTTTGTTTTCGATCGTCACAGTTGAACAGATCAGTAGACAAGCCAACACTTTGTGCAGATACATGAACAGTACCACTACATGTACACACATGTACAGTACGTTCACGTCGCTGCAACTCTGTCAGGTGGAGAAGTTGGAGATTTTCCTACATGTCCACATGCCAGCTTTGCATCCATGAGCCTCGTACGTGCAGTCACCACGTGTCCGTTCTTGGGAGATTCAGATATGGTTGTGCATAAATGATGACCCCCAAAAAACTACCTTGGAAACCTTGAATCGCCACGTATAGGTTTACATGTTGGCAGCTACTGTGCAGCATTTCAAAGTCCAAGCAGTTGTCCGTCAGAGATACATGTACACAGTACTTGTGCACGTACTGCCTAGATAACGTTTTCCGCAACATTTTGCAGTGACAGCAAACGAGCACTTGACTGTGACATTGCATTATGGAGGTGAATACATTTTTTGTTTCGTTATTTGGTAATTAAAATACAGATGGGATTTCAAGCTATTCATGGTGACAGACGACTAAGANGATAAGAACCGGAGAGGCTCAACGTTTCGGACAGTGAACTCAGGAGACTGAACCAGTACCTCCAACCAGCGTATAAGCCCCACTCCCTGTCGGCATCTCTTCAGTCTCCTGACGACGGACAGAGCACACTGTCCGAAACGTTGAGCCTCTCCGGTTCTTATCAGAACCATACAGACTCAAAAAGAGATATTGCCTGGTGCTTACCGCAAGCTTTCCATCTTAATTAAAATACGTTCTTTGAACCGAGAGCCACTTTGTCTCTGCATGCCTTGACAAAAAGTAACTTCTCTTGTATGGTTGCAGGCATCCTACACACGTTCCCAGAGCTACGACAAAGTGCGGCGCATCGTCAGCGAGGAAGGGAGGCAGGCGCGCAACCTTGTCACCTGGAACGTACCCGTGGACTACAGCGACGACAGTGACAATGACGGTGAGGAATTGCCACTCGGTGCGGCATGTGACAGGCCCAGAACGGAATTTAGATTTTGTGTCCTCCACGCGGGGGGAGAAAAGCCACAGTTTTTGCAAATCATACATGTAGGTCTGGATTCAGAGGCATAGTGTGTTGCACGTACCACTCTGATCCACTTTTTTTGACAAGTACCGATAAAAGATACATGTAAACGGCTAAGAAATATCTGCCTGTTTATTACTCTGCCCTCCTGTACACTTGTAAGCAATTGTAGGCATGTACATGTACCTATACATGTACACTTCGTATTACACCTTCCCACCGACCAGCCCATAATGCCCTCAACATTGTAAGCTATTGTTAGTAACCTACATGTATGGACTTGTTTCACTGGCTGTAAATTTAATTCATCCTCGGAGGTTCACGGAAAGAGTCCATGCACATGTACATGTAGGTGAGCATTTAACAGATAATGAAAGTCAAAACCCGCATCATTCTACCCTCCAAAGTGTAGGCCCCCTGCTCTCTTTTTTTGCGTCACTTCTTGAAAGTGGCATGCTTGATTGGTGTAAAAAATCATTCCAAGAGATCTCTCTCATAGGGCACCGATCTTTGGAGGAAGATTACGGTGTGCAAATATTCTGTATACGTGTGCGTGTTGATCCATCTGTATGCATTTGACATGCAGTGCAGCGTTATGAAACTTTAATGTCCAAAATGCTGATGCACCTGTTGATCTGTGGGAGGTGACGAGATTTAAGAGAGACCTACAGGCGTTTCACAGTCTTTTGCCCATTCATAGCTTTCTATGCCAAACCCTCACAAGTCTTTCTTGATAGAAACCTAGTGGTAATCACCACCTGCAATTTGAAGCAAGTGTAAACTTATACGTACTTGTAGTTCACATGCAAAAGCTTAATATCAAATGACTGACTGTTGGCAATTATAATGTGGTGGTTTTCAGGTAAGCCCGAAAGGCGCCGGAAACCCAAAGCCAGAAGCAGTGCCAGCACCCGCAGCGCGTGCCTGACGCCGCGGGCTGGCGCCATCGCTGCCGCCCCCCGCAAGAAGGGCATCGACAGCCCACGCGACAGCCCCAGGGACAGCCCCAGAGACCCCCCGCAGGTCGCCGAGGCCTCGAAGCCCGACCGCAAGACTGCTGCGCCTGGTAACTCCGGCACGGCAGCCGCTGCGGCCGCGGCCAAGAAGGTGGACCTGCGGGCCCGCTACTGGGCGTTCCTCTTCGACAACCTGCAGCGGGCGGTGGACGAGATCTACCAGACGTGTGAAGCGGACGAGAGCATCGTGGAATGCAAGGTACAGTGTTGCACCACAGCCATTAAGTTATGAACCGGGATACTGGACGCATTGCTCGGGACTCAACAGGTGATAGGGTTTTCTTGGACCCTAAATCACAAGCAAGGAAGCAGATGGCCTGTCTTCTTTGTATCATTAAGTTACATTACCTGTATCTGCAGCTTCTGAGCTACGTGTACTGTGTGAAATTTGGAAAAAAAACACGGAAAGTCAAGTGTCAGAGGTCATGAGTTGCCTTGATTGACCACTTTGTCCCAACAGGAAGTCATCATGATACTCAAGCGGGCCACCCACGACTTTGAGTCCCTCATCAAACGCATCAACGTCCAGAAGGACTTCGAGAAGTGCGACATTGAGAACAGGTATGTCTGAGGTCTGCCCTGTTCTCTGCCTGGTTGCAGTGACAGTACGGTTTGGGATTGTCGTTTGATACTAACCGACACCAGCAGCCGTTTTTTTCTCTTACGACTGCAGAACTGTTGCAGAATACTGTGCACACTAGGGTTTTGTAGTTCTGCCCTCACAAGTTGTTTAAAAAGTCATCGCAAGTCCACCACAGGTCGTCCAGTCTGAAGCCACATCACAAGCTGTTTGTTTGAACTCTGACAAAGGCATGTCTGTTGCCGTTGTTTTGTCTTCTGTTACTTGCAACCAGGGGCCACTTTTGTGGGAGCCGTGGAGCTCCGCATTGTGCCAGTTGCCGGGACAATAAATGCCACACGTACATGTAAGTGAAAACAGGCTACCAACGACAAATGCCATGCAGTGTGTACAGTCTCGGCCGGTTACGCAGCTGCTTGTTGCTTTGCACATATATCTAAATTCGCTAAGCAGTATTTCCCACTCAGGCAATTCCCCGAACCTGGGCTCAGACTTGCGACCCGACTTGCGATGGACTTGTGATGGACACAACTCCGACAGATACGCATTGATCGCTTTTCTCCTACTATGAACAAAGTAGAGTGCATGTCAGTTGCTTGCATGTACATAGAAATAACATGCATGTCCGAGCCCGTGTACGAGTTGATCACCGTGCAAGCTTTTTTGCCACTTGTGTACAGTCTTTAAAAAAAACAAAAAGATGCTTAAAGTGCATTTGCTCTGCTCTCCCCCTTTTGGCAACAGAATGCAATTTCTCTTAGCCTACAAATGCATGCATATTAATGCCGTAAAACGAAAAAGTGCTTTGCTGTGCCTCCGCAGCAACGAGCCCAATCCGTCCCCCGCAAAAGAAAGAAAAAAAAAAGATTTGTCAGGTGTTTGTGTAAACACCTGTGCTACTTTCTTGCAAATGTGACCCATTTCCAGAAACCAGTTTTGTCATGCACATGTATGTGTGCGTTACTTCACCAGTATTCTCAATAATATTTACAAGTTTTCCTCTGTTTCTGTTTTTGGTTTTGATGTTAGGCCGTCCAATTACCGTTAACACCTACTCGTACTGACTACATGTACATGTAATAGTGTTTCACAAAGTTCACCCCGCTTGTTAGACGTCAGAAACTATGTTCATTTTGTGTGTGTGTGCTGGTTCAGTTTACAGTGTTTGTGAATGGCTAACTATTAATGTTTACTGCCTTTTTGAATCGAGTTTTTATCATGGTTGATGCGCTCAAAATGTTACTTGGTATGAGCTTACAATCCAAAACCCAGTCTGCATGTTCACACGATGTGCACTTTTGCATGTAGCAGCTGATATATGTATGCAGTGGGTGGATGAAGGAACCAGTGTTTAACCTTATTACTTGTACACTGAGAGTCATCAAATGATATCCAAATAGCTTTGGCCCTTCCGATCAGGTTTGGGTTAGCTTATTTGTGATTTGTAATACAAAATTGGTACTCCTGTCCCTGGCCCAAAGGATAAAGTCAAATTTTTGACCCACCGTTCCAAAGCCAGGCTAGAGAATAGTAAGCGGAAAACAATGCAGATTTGCACAACTTTCAGTACCTGTCGGTACCAAAGTTTGCTGCTAGCAAAATGTTTCAGCTTCGAGGGTGTATTGAGGTTTAAAAGTGAAGCAATTGGAGAGAGGAAATTTGACAAACATCAGAATTAACCAACACGGGCCTGGTTTTAGAATGGTGCGTCGCGTTTTGTCCACACAAGTTTTGCACAGACTTGGACTTGTAGATTGTCAGCTCATATCGCCCCTCCTGTTTGTTGATACTGTTACTGCTTTCACCCTTTCTCGTCTTCTTTCTCTCCGTCCCTTTCCCCCTCTCTATTTCTCGCTCTGTCTCCGCCTTCCAATGACTGTCCATCGTGTGTGTTTTGGCTGCGTTGCCGCCACCGTCGGGCACACTAACTCCATAAACATCCGCCACCTGTTTCTACCACCACCACCTCCACCACACAATGGGCGGGGACAACTCAGGCCCACGTCTATTGTGTGGGAGGTGCGGAAGTCGTCCTCACCGGCCAAGCACCGAACCCCCAGCTGGCCCCCGGACAGTAGGGCCGCCATGCCTCGCCGGTGCGTTTTGCCTCCCCTCTGCAATCTACCCGCTGCAGGGGTGTAGTTCTTTTTTTGAGGGCCATAGATAACCATCGCTTTCTGATAGGCCTTAGCGAGTAGTACCAGTATTTGTCCTGAAAAGTGTCAAGCACCTTTGAAACCTTTGGGCTCAATTCTAGTTCGATGTCAAGAAAGTCTTGTAGACGCTTTGCGAAGTATAATTAAACTGAAAAAGCACTGAATTTTTTGAGTTTCCCAATGAAATCAGCTAAAAACAAAAAAAAATTGAAATCAGATGTGGGAATTGCACAGTCACTTTATAAGCAGCGTTGTAGTCAAGACCATTGGAATACCAGACACAAGGCCACAAAGCAACAGGTAACAGGGGTGAACAATGACAAAGGAGTACTTTTGTTGCAGTTCACTTAAGATGTTGCGGCTTGAATAAAGACTAGTGATCTTGTTTCCATCTTGTAATGGTCTCTGTGACGACAACAGTGTTGTACAGTGGCTTTGCCTGCTGTAGGAAATGCAAACATGATCAAATGCTCTGGGATTAATTAGAATGGTTACAGTGTACCAGTCCAGAGTACTTTTTTGATGAGGCTTTTTTGTTCCTCGTTTAAATTTTGCAACAAATTTTGGGCCAGCAATGACTTTCTTCTTCTCTCGTGTTTTGTTTTCGCTCATCAAAAGACTGCTATTGGTGCGTTATGTTCTCTCAATTCCCAAGCTGCTGTTTTTTTTCTCATGTTCTTGTCACTTTATTCGAACTTGAAGACATTTTCAAAGACAAGATAGTTCACTCGATGGAAAAGATGCGAGCTGTTGACAGTAGGAACTATTTGAGTCCACATTATTACTTCTTTTCACATTTATAATGCTTTGTTTGATTTAACTTGTTTTACTCACCAGTAACAAATACCATTTTCCTTGAGTGAGTATTGCAAACTCAAGTGACCAATTTCTCGTTCAAGGCTTGTCCACATCCAGAAACAATGGCTATGGCTGAAATGACACATGCACGAATGAAAGCCACTACATGTAACTGGTGGCTGCAGCCTCTTCCCATAGGCACATGTGTTGCTCCAGCCATAGCCGGTTGATTCAGACACAGCTTTACTCGGCTTCATTTCCTGTCCCTTTCAGGCCCAACTCTCTGGCCTGGGAGGTACGGAAGACCTCGCCCGGGCGTGGCCTCATCAATAGCCCCACCCCGGAGGGGCGGGACACCCCGAGCCCCATCAATCGGAGTCTGAACTTCAGTGGGCAGGAAGCTGCCAAAGCCAGGAACAGGTGAGGGGCCCACCCCCAGGAATCCGTAATCCTTGCAAAAAGAATCAAGGAGTTTTTATTTAATCAAAAGGACTGGAAAATATTTAACGCTAGGAATTCCAATTTCGTCCCTAAAATTTCCGCCAAATGACAATTTTGACACACCTATGTGTTACCGTAATATGTATTATGTAATCTTATGCATGTACCGTAATACGACTTATCTGACTTATCCGAACAGTCAGTGCAGTGCATGTTGCATGCACCACATCCGTGGCAGTGCCCTCTTTTGACGCGTACCAGCCGCGAGATGGATGTGATCATGGATGTGACACTGAAATTGTTCATGGAAGAAAACGCCCTCTATCGACAAGCTACATTGTAACTGACACTGTATGCGCCGCGTGGTGCCCTGTTTCACTAGGGGACACAGCTAAGAACGTTCTGGAACCAATACTAAGTACTGCCGTGAAATCGACCTCGATCATGTGTGCAAGCACCACGCAGTGAATTTTTCACTGAATTTCACGCTGAATTTGCACTAAATTTTGCAGTGAATCAACACATTTAGGAGATGAAAAATTATTGCAGGGCCATTTCAGATGATGTAAACCCTTGCGGAAATCAAAATTTTATGGAGTGAGTATTTTATTTATCAGTGAGTACATGCGGTACTGTACCTTATCATGGACTCAGACTCAAGTCTTGTACCATGCAGCACCGATGTTTCCTTGTTCATGGTAACCTGACATGATGGATTCTGACACCAGTACACCAGTGTCCATTTTGAATATGGTCACATGTCCAATAGGTCGTATTCTCATGACATCATGTACAATCAGCAATTGTACCTCATGTGAATGTACTGCAGCAATGCAGATTTCCGGAATACCTGTATCAACCATTATTTCCCGTTGACTCCTGTTGCGTATAATATTCTGGATTTCCATGAAAAAGTCTAAATTTTGGGCAGCAGGACTCTGAATTCTTGATAGTGGGAAGTCTGCATAATTTCAAATTTATCATTTGCAAGGCTTTAAGCTGTGAAATACAGAAAGTGGACCATCAGAGTTGGAGCAGGATTCCAGTGGTCAGTCACGACCACAGACGGAATAGGAAATACAAGCTTGGGCCAGACTCCTGAGTAGTTGACAAGGAAAAATTCAAATCCAGCGTGGCACAAAAGAGGGAAATTTTTTCAAGATTAGATAGGTTTATGAGCTTCCTGATGAGGCATTGTATAAAAGACTAGTCTCTGACAGGTAACGAGTCGCACAGCTTTCAACTTTCAAATGCGGTAGCCGTTTTGCTCTTGTGCGTATAGTGTACTCACTGGGATTGGCAAGGTGCTTTTTCTGAGGACTCCTTTTTCCCAGTGATGTCGCTGATAGGGTAGCAGGTGATGCTCATTTCATCACTGCCTCTCCCAACCGCTGCAGCCCCGTGCCGTTACCACCAGTGCCAGCAGAGACCGTGGCCGTGGCCAGTTGGGCCGACAGGGTCAAGGGTCATACTGCCAAGCCCATCGCCAAGGTGCCAGCGGTGAAAACGGGCGATGCGAAACCAGCGGACGAGAAACGGACAGTGGAGGGAAAGAAGGATAACGGAACACCGGACGTGCTCACTGTGAACGGAGCACTAAATACGGTGGAAGGTGAGTTATATTGATTGCCTTGTCTGATATCAATCGTGTAAAACTTATGTTAGCCGTTTTTTAAAACCACTGCGACACTGGCTGAGTTTGGTTGTAGAAAGTAGTAGACCCGCGTCCAATCACTGGATTCAGTCCAGTGAGGGATTTTGATACCCCTGTCATCCCTCCATGGAAATGTTTTCCGTCGACAGACGATGGAGAAGGCTGGGAGACGGTGCAGCGGAACAAGCCCAACCGCTCCAGGCCTTCCTCGGCCAAGAGCCGGTCTCACCACAATAGCGCCGGCAGCAACCATTCGGCCAAGTCGCAGCCGGGGCCTAATCCCGCTTCTGACACCAAAAGCCCACAGCAGCCCCCAGCCGGGGCCAACCAGGCCCGGCAGGAGGGCTCCCGCAGCAGGGCCGACAGCGAGAAGGAGAACAGGCCCCTGGAGAGCAACCTAGTCAACCGGGAGCGGTCAAACACCGAGCCCAGGGTCGAAGGTGAAAGGTCTGAAATGGTCAAGGTGGAAATTCAGATGGACAAGAATGAGAAGATATCAGGTTACACTGCAAACAAGGCAAAAATTCAGGATTTGGATCCAGCTATTGTTGCTGTGTGTACCGGTAAGTTTACTCTAGATGTAAGTTTACATTTTTCTTTAAAGACTGTCTGAAATTCCCTGCACCCCCCCGCCATTTTTGTCCTGTTTTCATCTGTGGTTACTACCTTTCCCTCGTCAGTTTGCCTTTGAGAAAGATCCGGCTGGGTTTGAAAGCTGCAGCTGTTAAGCTTTACAAATTTTCTCGTGAAAACTTGCTTAACGACGCTGTGCCACCTCAAAGCAACTTTGGAAATGGAAAAAAAAAAAATGATTTGGAATTCGTGTCTACGTTTCACAGGGAAGGAGAACATTCTGGTGTCATCTGGTGACGAAGGTGGCAGTAACAAGGATAACACCGAGGATGAACTGGCGACCAAACTGGATGAGGTACAAGGAGTAGATTGAAAGGAAAAAGAAAACTGTCCTTTATAACAGACAGTGCCCAAAGCACCCCTATACTGCTCAGCACAGGATGTTGGCAACACTTTTAAACCGTTCACAGTTTGCATCGTAGATTCTGTACTGTATTACATGTGCGGTTGTACCACTCCCTTTAATGGCCCCCCCTCCAGGACGTCAGCGTAGCCATTGATGAGGAGGAGACGCTGACTAACGAGATCGAGAAGTGCCAGGACGAGGCGCTGGCCTCCGCCATCGCCGAGGAGGAGAAGCTGACCAAGGAGATTGAGGAGGAGGAGAGTAAAGAGATCATCGTGGAGACGGACGAAGGAGAGAGTGACCTGGCTCTCAGCACGGTGAGAAATCAAGACAAAATGTGAACAAGAATTGCTTGTAAAATCTGTTTGCATGACCCTCATGTCCGGGTAGAATTTCAGTGGTTAAACTTAATAACCCACAGGTGAATTCATCCCCATTGGGCTGTGTTGAATGCTTTTTAGATGATTTCAAACAGCTATTGGTTTTGATATGATTTTTTTCTTGTTTTCTTCTTTCACCTTCCTCCATATGTTTTGTACATGTACATGTTCCCTTCTTGGTCCTTAATCATGTTAATTAGAACTTTAGGCTCCTTCCAGCTGTATTCATTCTTTGAATGTGAATTGGCCATCATCTGAAGAGGAGTATTGAAATTTTATGTCAGTGGTCACATAATGTTATCATAAAGGTCCTTTATATTAAGTCCATTATTTTGAGAACTGCAAGTCCAACAAGGCTGCAAATTTGCACATTACTATGCTATTTCGAGTCAGTTCAACTGAGACTTTGTGCAGATGAACCCACAGCTGCCATTTTGTCATTACGTTCATAGACCATTTTTTAGGAATGGGTCTGTGATTGTTCAGTGTACATTCACCGTCTCAAGTTTGATCGTTTTTCTTCGCCACTGTCACCAGAACACCCTGAGTTCACTGGACAGCTCCCAACGCACCCTGGACTGGAACGAGATGGTGCTGGACTTCGAGGAGCGGCAGCGCCAGCAGCAGTCCCCAGTCAGCTGGGGGGAGCTAGTGGAGATCAATGAAATCGAGGGGCGGCCGCCGGGCTACGCCCTCCACATGCACGAGAAGCTCTCCTCTCCCTCCAGGAAAAGGTGAATGTGGATTAGCGTGCAGCGGTATTTTATTGCTGGAGCGCTTTTGTTCCCGGTTGTGACACTTAATGCCACAAATAGTGGTATTCTGTTTCAAAACAATGACGGATCACCTCTGCTATTGACAACTGAAAAAATGTTGGCAATTCCCAGCAGCGGAATCTTTTGTTCCGAGTATGATCTTTTGTTACAAGGCTGAGCTCCTTTCGGGCACCTGGGCTATGTGTAACAAACGTAAGGACTCCAATTACCGGGCACCCCGGCACGAAGTGGTTAATAGTGAATGTTTCCATGACACTTTTGCGATATATCTTTCCGCCAACACAGAACGAGAGCTGAGGCCCAGAAACGCCACGAGGAGCGGCAGGCTAAGGCCCAGCAGAAGCGGGTCACCCTGATGGACGAGAAGGCCATCAAGCTGAAGATGCTTCATGAGAGGGTAAGAGATGACCGCTGGTGCATCCGGGAGTGATCCTTAGAAGCTATGAGAGCAAAAAAACACAAAGTCTGTCCCCAGCTGCTATGGCTCATCAAGCCAGTGTTAATCAGTGTTGCAGTCAAAACCTCTTCAGACCAATCCATGGTCCCTGCAGGACCATCATGAGACCAGCACAAAACCTCCAGTCTGACATGTGTCTAAAGGCAAAGCGAATTTGACGTCGCGAAAGACTTGCAGCAAAAATTCGCTCAAGTTGAAAATGCGCTCAACTTTTGTGAATTGCGCAGTGCGAATGTTTGACAAGGTGTCCCAAATTTGCGCTTGCGTTCGCCTTCTTGCCAAGTGCAAACCGGCTTTAATGTTTTGATGTGGTCGATCGCCCGCAGATCGAAGAAGTCCGGGAGTGGAAGGAGGAGCTCCTGATGCTAAAGAAGAAGGAGATGGAGGAGAAGCAGCTGCGGGCGGAGCAGAAGAGGCAAATGCAGCTGGAGGCGGTCAGGAGGAAAGCGCAGGAGGAGGAGCACAAGGTGAGATGGGGAACTAGACTTGGGGGGGGGGCAGTGGCAGGTTGCCCCCTTGGCCATGCAGCGGTCTGCTGGTTGTCATGCCTGGAAGCGTAGATTCCAAAAAAGTGCCTGCCTTTCAGCATGCTGCCTTGTGATCGGTTGAGCCGCTGTGACATCTCATTCGCATGTTATTTGCTCTCTTTGCACCCTTGCCGTTTTGAAATGCTGACTTGGCTCATTGTTGCATCCCTGATACTGCGAGAATTCTAAATTGCCAGAGAACAGTTCGCATGATTTTAATAAATTGACGCCGGGGTGCTCTAATTCTAAGAAAACAAATATTTTGGGACCACTTGTCATTGTGATTCTGTACGCCATAGTTACACATCGTCATGTTCAAATTGGCTCTCGTTTGTTGAATAGGCCAACGAGATTGCATTCATCAACAGCCTGGAGGCCCAAAACAAGCGGCACGACATCCTGGCCCGCCACCAGGGGCACGAGGCGCGGCTGCAGGACCTGATGGAAGAGAGACAACGCAGGCAGGTGGAGAAGGCGGCTAAGGAAGAGGCTGTGCAGGTGAGAAATGGCTACGGCTATGTCCATTAAATGGCAGCGTGTCAGTGGCAACATTCAAAGTCATAGCCACAAGACAGGCCGGAGAAGGCGGCCATAGAAGAGGCTGTTGCGAGTGTGACTCAAAATGGCCATTCTGCAATTCTATCTTCCATCTTTAGTGTTCGATACTGAGAGGGGCCAAAGGTATTAGCTGGAGAGGCAGCTTGCATGTTTGAGCTCTCTTCTTTAGGTATTTATGCAGTAGGCCTAGCCAAAACATGACATACATGTACCCCCCTCCCCCCTTTGATTTCCAGGAGAGGAGGAAGGCCCTGGAGGAAGAGAGGATGGCCCGCCTCAAGGAGATGCAGAAGCATCGGCAGAATCAAGCTGACAAGCTGAATGTCCTCAAGGAACAGAGGGAGAAAGCCAGGGAGTCGGCCGTCAAAGAACGGGCCAAGTAAGGGACGAGCTACTCAGCCTCCGCACACTACTGGCCATCACAAAAGCCCAGTCAAAAGTCCAGCCACACATCCTCTCATGAGACCAATCATTGAGCCGCAGGGTGATCCACGACAAAGGAATGCCCGTGTCATGTGACTTGTGAGGGACTTGGGGGAACTCGTGATGGACTCGACCACCATACTGTCAACTTCTTTGATTGCCACGCGTATTAACTGAAGCCATCACGTTATTTACCCCAGCTCCCCAGATGTGTTTGGAAAGAACCCTCTTGAATCCTCGTAAATTGATTGTTGCGAAAGGGTTGAGTGGAATGTTCTTTACGTACAACTAAAAAAACACAAAATTGCTGAAAAGAAGCTACCTGCTTGTGATGTAGAATGCAAGAAATACTGTGCAATTACAGGGCAGAAAATGACTTTGATCCCTCTTGGTTGGAGATCTTTTTTTCTCAAATAAAACCAAGTTGTGGCGTTGTGTTTCTCATGATGGCTGAATAACAAGGGTTTTTTCTTTCGTTCTTCAGAGAGCGAGAGCAGAGACTGTCTGCGCTGAATGCGGCCCAGCAGGCCAAGGAGGAAGAAATACAGAAGAAGATCCAACAGAAGGTAGGGGGGAAAAAAATGTATGGCTCATCTCAAGGGCCAAAATGGGATTTCCATTTGATGAATGGTCACCAGATGTTGAAAGCTGAGATGTTCATCTTCGTTACCATGACAAAATGTGATCATTGTTTCCTTTTTTGGAAATTGGGGTTCAGTAAAGCAACGTTCATTTCTACTAGGGCTACAGATCCTGTTAGGAAAACATCACAGAGCTTATTTCGCTGTGCATTATGCAAATGACTTTTCCACCCTGTATTGAATGATTTTGTTTGTTTATTTTCCTCCAATAATGCATTTTGGTGCCAAGTACAGGATGAAGTGACAATTAGGAAGCCGATGAAGACATGTTCAGTTTTAGAGGTGGGAGGAAAACTCATGATGAATACTCCAGGGAGACCCACAGGATCAGGCAGAGGCAGGGAATGAAAGCCCTATCCACATGCTGACCTCGGTGGGATTTGAACCCGGGTCGCAGAGGTGGAAGGCGAGGAAACACAGCCACTACGCCAACCTGACTCCAAGATGTGATATTGCACAAGACTGATGTGTCCTGAATTAATAGATTTGGGGTTAAAATGTGCACAGGACATCGGTGGAAAAAATATACAGTACGGTGGTGATCACTGTTGCTAGAAGAATCTTGAGGTTATCCCTCAGTGTCGCTGGTCCCTTTCTATCGACAGCACGACGAGACAACACGGCGGCACAACCAGCAGATCGAGCAGAAGCGCGAGAAGGCCATCGAGCTGAGCATGCTCAGGCACTATCGTACCACCGACGTCGCCCCCCACCACAACCCCTACGAGAACAAGAAGATGTGCTCGCTGTGCAGCGTCATGGTACGCATTGTTTTGAACGCATTCTCTTGCCGAGTACTTACAATGCATTATAGTATAGTGTGCAGTATTTATTTTTCATGAGACGATTCCTGTATTGTATTAATAGTACACTTATATTTTTCATTTTTTACAATGTATATGTATGGTTATTAAGCACTGTCGGTATATCGATATATCGATATGGGTTTGATATCAATATCGCCGATGTTTGTTATTTGGTAAAATCGATATATCAAAAATATCGGATTTTGGAGAAATATCGAAAACATTTCAACTTCAAAAACATTGATATTGAAATTTATATTGAAAATATCGCTACCGAGGAACAAACTTTATTAAAAAATACAAAAGTGCATTGTCACATTACGTAGGCAATATGGACACTAGAACATGTAGCCAAAGTGAATTGGATCACACCATTGTGGTGTAGGGGTGTACCCTGAGAACAATTCACCAGTAATTCATGCCTGTTATAATACCTTGAAAATTATAAGGAATAAAATTTGATATATGGATAATATCGATATAAACAACCCTGATATATCGGTATTGGCCAAAAAATGACATTGACAGTGCCTAATGGGTGTCTCCTTCCCCCTTTCTTTGCTTTTCCCCTCCCTTCCCTCTTTCCTTCATTCCCTTTTCCCCCGCCCAACACATGCCCATTCCCACGTACTTACCTTACATACCTACTGTGGACATTCCTTTACTTTCGTGCAGTTAAGAAAACTCAGTGAAAATACCCTTTTTTTCTTGAACTGGGAACACGTTTTTCAGCCGTTTTTTTTGTACAAGGTTTCCTTGACTTTTCCTCTTCCTTTTATGATGGATGACCCCTCCCCCAAAACGCCTCTGAACCTCTTTTCCAGAGAAGGGGAAACGTCCTGTGGACGTGTGTAAGTCCACAAAACGTCTTCCTTTCCTGCATCGTGTGGACATCTTTTGTTCACAAGTCCACACTAGGTATGGTAGGTTAGCGCACCCATACTGTTAGGTTTATTCAGTTTTATAGACTTCAAAATACAATGTCTCTTTGCCGTTTTCATGCCATCTGTCTTTTTAATCTCTTTGATGTGTGATTTTTGTAAATTGATCCATGTGTTGTTGTTAGATGTTGTGCTTTGTTCTGCATATTTTGTCACAATTTTTGTAAGATGAGCCCGTGTACGTGTTCCTTTTCCTCTTAATTGGATGAGTTAATATTGAAATATTGAAACATTGAAATTCCAAGAAGAGCCCTATTACCCATTTAATTCCCTTTCGTCATGTAACGATTCCTTGAGAACTGTTTCTCTTGTATCACCTGTTTTTCCCAAAAGTGACACACCAGTTTTACAGTCTGGTCCAGGTTGAGGGAGAGTGGATGACCCGGTTGACAAATTTGTGTGAATTTATTGCCTACATGACAACAGTCATCCGCATCTCATCTTTAATCTTATTGCGCGTTCCAATTGAGTTGGTCGCAGTGTTGTTGATACTGTCGTTTGCTATTCACGCAACTGTCTATGCATGAGCACAGAACAGTTTTAATACAAAAAGAGAGAAACAGCCTTGAAGCACTTGCACGTAATGAGTTCAGATAAACCCTTTCACCTCTTTAGTTCCAACCAGAGCCTAGTTTTAAATCCTGTCAAAGAGGAGTAACTCCCGGCTGAAAGATTGGGCAACTCACTGCATCAGCCTGGGGGGCAACAAACGAAAGAAAGGTTTTGAGATTGCCAACAGACCGAGGATTGTTGAGGCCTCCTGCGAAGGGACACCAGTTCTAATCTTGCTTTCCCGTCGTCCGCAGATTCCGTCAGAGGTGTACCTCCTGAGCCACCTGCGAGGCAAGAAACATAAAGAGGCCGTCCTGGACAAGCACCAGGGAAAGCACATGACCGACGAAGAGATTGTAAGTCAAGAAATGACTCTAACCTCTAATCCATGAATAGTAGGCCTATGCTGTTCGCAGAGTAAGTGACTTTCCATTTGCCAATGAGTGATACGAATTTCAGAATATCAACATTGTCCGAGCAAGATAGGTATTGTTCCTACATGTACCATTGGTGTGTGATGTAATTGATCCGTCGTGTTGAGATGCCACCATTGTAGTTATAACTGTGAACAAAAAAACAGTTAATTGTGTGTGACTTCTGAACTGACCATACATACCTGTCCGTCCACACACTTTCTTCATCAAATTATGTTCTTTGTGAAATTCGTGCACAAATTACACGAGGTGTTCATAAAACACTGCCAGCCGTGGTGGAAATTTGTGTAGTGTGCACGGCATATTTATCAGGCGAGCCAGTTGTGCACAAATTGTACAGTATTCAAGTTGACTGGGGAAAAAACAGCAGAGACTGCTCTAAAGTAACGCTTTCATGAGGTTTTAAATTGAATGAGTTGAAAAGATCTCCAAATTTTAAATTAAAGAAGTAATTTCCAAACAATTGTGGAAAAACATCTCTTTCTAGTTTGACACTTTATGCAAATTATGTTCGGGAACTGCTTGTCGTCGTCCTGAGTCAATTCGGCGATTTTTCTGGTCCATTTCACCCGACCGATGCTTGCTCTTTTTTTTGCGCGATGGCTGCTCAGGAGAGCTACTCCCTCAAGATGCTGGTGGAGGCCTCGCCCGACCGACCCGACCCCCAGGAGCTGGCGGAGAAGGAGCGACAGAAGGGGTGCCGCAAGCGGGCGCGCAAGCTGCGGCAGCGGATGGCCGCCAAGGGCAAGGAGTATGAGAACAACCTGCTGTCTAAGCCCCAGGGTAACGAGTCGCAGCTCAGGGCCAAGTGAGTCGGTTGCCCCCCCTCCTTCCCTCCACCCCTCGCGCCAAGGCCATCCTGGCGTTTTCCTTGGTTATTCATTGTCTACGTGGCAAGGAGTCAACAAGCAGGCCTTGCTCAGAAATACTTCCCCAGAGCAAGTTTTGGGTTCACAATTTGAATAGAAAAACGCGTAAACTGAAGAGTGTCTTCTCCGAACATCATCATGCTAAGAGGGCTGTCATTTGTTCCGAAAAGCTCGAACAGTTTTCTTAAAAACCAGCGCACTCATCAGTACAGTTAACCTCAAAATGATATCAAATTGAAGAGGAATTCAAAGACCCGAGAAAAATTACGTGGCAAGAACCTTTTTGTTTCAGTTGGTGTTTCCCCCATTCCTTTCCATCCTCCAGGCTGCAGAAGCTGATCAAGGATCTGACCAAGTACCTGCAGTCCCAGACCTCCACGGGTCCCTGGGAGCAGAGCAAAGTGTCGGCCATGGACAGGGCCCTGGGAGAGCTCAACCGCATCCTGGCCAAGAAGGTTGGTTTGTGCCCGAGCTGCCTCCTACTCTCCTGCTTTCTTCCTTGTTTGCATTTTTTATTTTCTTGTGAAAGTTCCAACACAATTTTTACCTTTAAAACTTATATGTAACAGAACATGGAGCTTATTAATTCATGTTTAAAACCTGTGAGATTTGCTGAAAGACATGAAAGCACTGACCGGCAAGAGAGTTGAGAAAATCGTCTGCCACATTGGAAAAATCCACTGTTGGAAAAAAATTCTGCCTCCTTTGAAACCAAAACCCTAAATGAGAAGCAATTTTATCTGTAATCGGGCTAACATGTACAGCAATGACTTCCTTTCTGATCGCCCCAGGAACAAGCCGACCAGATAACCTTCAGGACCTGCGGTGGCCTGTCCACGCTCAGCCGCATCCTGATGCTGATAGACACGGGCAGCAACGCACCGTCCCACGCCATTCCTCCCAGGTAAGTTAACAGTCTCTCTCTCTTCTTGTTTCAACCCTTAAAATGGCCGCCTGCTGTGTTAATGCCTTCTGGCAGCCAAAGCTTGGGATCAACACTATCTTTGTCCCCCCTCTGCCCTTTTGTCTTGCCTCACATGTCTCTTTGGATACACACCTCACGATATATCCATTCGTCTCGCATCTTGTGGACAAAGAGTAAATTGTTGATGATTCACATTATTTGTCCTCACCACAAACAGTTTTTATGACCCTTTGTGTGAAAAAGTTTGGCGCTCCATGGAAAGAAAAAAATAACCAGCAGTATATTTGAGTCGGTCGCCAAATGTGTGCAAGACTCAAAACTCATACTAAGACTCAGTGTGTGATAACCGATGATGCAGTGTGAGAGGATGTACAGCGGACGGACTCAACCTGTCTCATATTCATTTTTTTTACCTTGTCGTCTTGAAGTCATGAATTCACTCACGAATGAGTTTTAACTTCAATATGATTAACAAGTGCAGCAGTATTTGGGTAACTTCTGTTCTATGCATTGCTGGAATTTCAGGCTGTTCATGGTGAAAGACAGCAATAGGTGGAAAGGCTTGTGGTAGCACCATGCGAAGGAACGCATCTCTTATGAGTATGTGTGGTTCTGAAAAGAATCGGGAGTATACTCAGCGTTTCAGACTGCGTGCTCAGTCCGTCGTCAGGAGACACAGGAGACACGAATGAGTTTTAATTTAATGTAATAAGCAACTGTAGCAGTATTTGGGTAACTTCTGTTCTGTGAATTGCCTTCGGCAGCCGGAATTCCAGGCTATTTATAGTGAAAGACAGCTAGTTCGTCGTCAGTCTCCGAACGACGGACTGAGCATGCAGTCCGAAATGTTGAGTATACTCCTGGTTCTTTTCAGAACCACACATACCCGGTACTCATAAGAGATGCATTCCTTCGTATGGTGCTACCGCAAGCGTTTCTGCCTTTGGCAGCCTTGCGAATGATGGATATCTTTGATAAGTGGGCAATTCAAGAAATTAGGGGTCCATTTTTTTTCGTGTCCGTGTCACATCTGACTTGATTTTTTTAAGTTCAGAACACATTTTGTGATTTCCAAGAGTGATGAATTAATGCAAATTGCCCGCCAAACAAATAGTTAAAGGTTGAAATCAGTTCCGGTGATATTTCCATGTCAAGATGTAACGGACACAAAAATGTCACACTCTTGGATCCCCAATTTCAGGAATTACCCACAAGCTTTTGTCGGCTGTATGTATCCTCATCTGGCATCTGTCTGTGTCTTATCAAATCTATACTGAGAAGTTTCCTGGCGTTGAACTTTTTTCCCCTTTTCTTTGTTATTTGTCTTCGCACATCTTCATCTGTCCTCTTCTTATCTGACGTTTGCGGATGCTGTGTGGCTCTGGTAGTTCCACACCGTGCAGCATTGTCCCTGCCAAGTGAGTAGGCATCTCTGCCGTCTTCAGCTCAAGTTTTTTCGGACATTCCCTCTGTTTTTTGTCTCGTGCAGTTGTTGTCTTGCGCTTTCTTTAATCATTAGTCGATCTGTTTGTTTTATTTTTTTTTCCATGCATGTGCATACATTTCTTTCCTTACACTTCTCCCCCCCCCAAAGCGATTGTTTCCATGGCGTATCTGCAAACTCTGTCTCGAGCAAAAGCACCCCCTTGAAAAGAGCTACATTGGTCGGAGCGTTCAATTTGTTGGTAGCGATGCGACTGTGACGTGTGCATTTCCTAGTCGTTCGTGAACCAACCAAGTTCAGTTCTGACCAAAGGAGCCTCCGTTGCTAAGAAAAGTGCGCCCTCTCTCGGTCCAGCTCGAGGCTCATGCTAGTACCTCTCTGTATACTGAATGCAAGACTAGTATTTGCTTCTAGTTTGAGTTGCTAGTTTAGTAAATTTGTTGAGCTGTTGTCCCTGTAGTTGGGTAAAATACTACCAGAGAGAGAGAGAAAAAAAAATGCTAAGCCAACCATGAACCTTTGGAGTAAAACAGAACCACGCCCCCTTAACACATGCAAAATTGAAGCTGAAGGCCGCGACAGCTTTCTGTGTTCGTTTGACGCTGTTTGACGGTACCCCGTATCTCCCCCCCCTATAGATCTGTGTGCAGTGCGGCCACCGCGTTCAGGCTAGCCTGCAAGGGCTGCTTCGACAACTGCCAGTATGCGCTGTACAGCGGCAAGCTGGCACCCATCGTGGAGCTGCTGGTCCATCAACTGGGGGTAAGTTTGAAAATAGTGTCGCCGTAAGAAGCCTCCGATGTGATCTTTTCCCCGACGCCCTGGGGGGAAAGTGGTATCTGAAAAGTGTTGTCAACTGGCCGGTGCTCGAGGAAATAATTTTAGAATTAGAGTCACAATTAGTTTGGACTCGAGACTTCTCTTTAAGTCTTATATGAGACTTCTCTTGTTCAAAATGGCTTGTGACTTGACCTGAGTGAAGTGGAATTATTGACATTACTGACTTTGCTGTGGAAAGAAAGGTGGACCTTCTACGTGTGAAAGCAAGCCTGTCTGTTTTTGCCTTACCGATATTTCATCTTTGTGCATAGCATAATTGGGGGAAAATATGAGACAGGCCTTGAGCCAGATCCGTTTTGCAAAACATCACAGGCCACATCAGTTGGTAAAGGATGTCAAAGAAGATGCACATGTGCTGCACGGACTTCGATCTTTAGGTAGACTTGAAAAAAATGATTGGGGAGTTGTAGCCTGTGACTTGAATTACCTTGCAGACAAATGGCTCGATTTCAACACTGGTGTGTGATCGGCGCTACCATCCTCGAACCTTAAAAATCTCCCTAAAATCCTGGTGAACTTTGAGGACTTTTTGAGATGTAGGGAATGGGATTTCATAAATAAAAAAAAGGATAAGAAAGTTCATTGAATCGGATGTTTTCGGAGTGTGACACCACCCATCATCAATAATCACCGAGCGTCATTCTTTGCACGCAGCTGATGGCCCCAAACTCTTCGACGGGCCACCCCGCGGCCCCGGTCCCCGAGACCCTGTCGGACCCCGTGGCCAGCTGCCTGATGCAGCTGCTGTCGGCCGTCCTGCTCTGCCTGGTCAAGCACCGGCCTCAGAGCCCCTCGTCCGACAGCCGGGCCTCGGGGGCCCAGAAGAAGCAGATGGACACCTTTGACCAGTGCGGCCAGGACCTCATCAGGTACCGTCGGAAGATTTCCTTCGACTTGTAAAGCTATCCTTTTTTTTTTCAATGGAGACCAATCTGAGAGAAGCCATTATTGTGAATACAGCCATGGATCGCGAGTGGCCGACATGTTAGTCTCAATACATCCAGGGTTCCCGCGACCTGGAAAAGTCGTGAAAAAAGTCATGGAAATTTGTTTTCATTCTCCAGGCCTGGAAAAGTTACAGAAGTTTGTAAAAATAGCTAAAGTCATGGAAAAGTCATGGAAGTTTCCTAACACTGTGTGTGATATCTGTTATCAGAAATAAGTGCATAAAGGCGTGATTTTTATTTGCAATTTGAAAAGTGTAAATAGTCCATGAAATTCTTTATTGGGTCATGGATTTTCATAATTTGGTCATGGAAAAGTCATGGAATTTTCATTGTCCTTTAGGTGCTGTAACCCTGTGCAATGCCCAGAAATAGAATTAAAAAATACAAAAGTTGCAAAATATTTCTGAACTCTTTGGCATTGTAGAGATTCATTCAGGCAGGTATTATTTCTGGGTTATTTCAGGTTATACACGGATGTTTTGAAGGATTTATTTGGGAGATGTGTAAAAGAATGGATGCCTCACTCTCATGCAATGGAAATAGTTGTCTTCTGTGACAGATGGAATGTTCCGTTTCAGTTCACATCATGGAATGGAACATTCTCCCTGCCACCTCATGAAATCATTGTCACCACTGCACACACCATGCAATATTTGCATATCCAGATGTACCTGGTAATAAGTTATTCAGGAAAAAATGCAGGCTGTTTGATAATTTGATTTATTTATTTCAGAGATATTCAGTTTACCAGACTGTCCAAAATCTGTATTGTTCAACCTGTTTCAAACCCCGAGATTCATGAGTGCTCCTGGCAAAGCAGAAATTGTTTTTCTGTATTCAAGAACAGCTCTCCCTGATAATATTTTGTATGATTTACATAAAACTTTCCATCATAATGAGCACAAAACATCAGCAGAGGAAAAACTGGTAAAAGATATTGCAGAACATGCGCAAATGGTCGAAAGTGTTAGCAGGAATTCCTGACTTTTCTTTCCATCATAATTAAAACTTTCCATCATAATGAGCACAAAACATCAGCAGAGGAAAAACTGGTAAAAGATATTGCAGAACATGCGCAAATGGTCCAAAGTGTTAGCAGGAATTCCTGACCTTTCTTATGCACACAGCTACTTGGTATGCTGCGGTGTGATCGACAGTCTCACATCCTGCTTCAACCGGGTGCGGGGGACTGTGGATGAGGACCCGGCCCTGGCCGACTTCCTGCAGCACAGCCTGGGGCTGCTGGGAGCCATGACCAAGTTTGTCTCCGCCGCCTCCAGCAGGTATCCTGAAGCCCGACATTCGGAAATGATAAATTTTTTTTTCCCAGTTCAGTCCCAATAAAACAGGAGACGTTTTGACGTCCATGCTGGCCATGTTTTCAGCACTGTGTACTAGAATATGGAGTTTTTTGATGCCGTAAAAAAAATTTTTGATGAACCTACACCAAATGTAGGATTTGTGCAATATTAGTTTGTGGTACAGGATTGATTTTAGGATAATTAGTGGACCTGACAAACATTTTATATAATGCAAACAACTTGAACGAGGAAAGTCAGGAGGACAGGCCCCCTTACCGTTCTGTATTGTGAATTCCTTTTTTTTCTTCTTCAAAATGCGCAGGCTGGGGAGTGTCTTTGCCAGCAAGAAGGAGGACCCCACCCAGCTCCTGGCTGCCTTCCGGGCCACGGGGCTGGGCGGCATCGTGTCGCTGCTGTACGGCGTGCTGCTGCACGGGGGCAACCCGGCTCGGGGCGGCCCGGCCCCGCCCCCCGAGCTACCCGAGCACACGCTGAGCGTGGTGACAGCCGGTATCCGCATGCTGGGCAGCCTGGCGGCGCTGGACCTGGAGATGATGCAGGTACGTGGAAACAGCGTATTACCCATTGGGCACTCTCAGTCCGTGGCGTGCTCCCTGGCCTTCAACAGCGAAGGTGCACATTGATTGCAAATTCAGGCATACGTTATTGAGTTGTTTATAATACACTCTAAATTGCCAAAATTGTGTCCTTCATGTAGGTTTCTGTAACGGAAGGTTTAATGAAAGTATAATTCTTGTCAGGCAAAATAAAACAAACAATTGATCACACCTCTGTTTCCCTTTTTCTTGCTGGCCTTCATTGAACTGTTTTTGTTATGTTTCATAAAATTTGCCACAAATTTCTGCTGTTTGTCTTTCTTATGAAACCTGTGTGCAAGTTTAAGATCTGTTAAATATTAAAAGAGTAAGTAAAAAAGTCAAAGACTGTCCTTCCATCTTGAAAATATCTTCCATCTTTACCAAAAAACCTAACGCCGGGCTGCCCTTTTCCATTCTTTTGAAAACCCATACGAGAAGCCATTTTTCGTTTGCCATTATTCCGGTCACAATTTGATAAAAAAGGTTTGCACTTTGATGTAGAAAATCGTAATGGACAGAAGTCACTTCTTTCTAATTCTCGTGACTAGAGTGCCCTGGGATCTGAAGGCATCTCGCTGGAGTTCCGTCACATTGCCACCTACCTGCTGTGGCACTGCAGCCACTTTGCCAGCTGCGAGGACCTCCTCCACGAGGTCGTCCTCATCGTGGGCTACTTCACCGTACTCAACACGGAGAACCAGGTAGGGACGTTGTACGCTTAAAAAGGCGAAGTGTAAACGACGTGAACTTGTAAATGAACTTGTTGTCTCAGTGCTTTCGTTTTTATGGTCACTTTCCCGAGGTAAAAGTTAATTTTGCTTTCAATCTGATGTGGCCGACTCGCGGAAATGGCCAATTAATATTGAAGTAACCGTGATGGTATTCTTGCCTCTCGAATCCTACACAGTCCTTTTAGAAGTTCCTCGACAAACTTGAAGGATTGGCGATTATAGAGGATCTGTACTTTGTCCTTGCTGACAGGTTCTGGTGCAGTCTGGTAACACGCCCACCCTCCTGCAGCAACTCTGCGGCCTGCCGTTCCAGTACTTCAGCGACCCCCGTCTCATGGCGGTGCTGTTTCCCACCCTCATGGCCTGCTGCTACAACAACGCAGAGAACAAGAACATCCTGGAGCAGGAGATGAGCTGCTCGCTGCTGTCCTGCTTTCTAGAGGTAAGGCTCCATCCGAATATAGTCAGTTCCCTTAAAGTCTCGTTTGTAAGACTTAGAGAACATGAACACATCAGCTCCTCATCTGCTTTCTAACCTTGTACATGTATTTTTATGTTTATTATCCACTCATCTCCGCGCAGAACACAGTGGTGACACAAAACACATGTGGGTCACTATTGACAAAGAAAGTAGGCCTGTAAACTCACATTTAGAAGTACACTAGATGGTTTAGCCATACCTTTTAGTCGATGGTCCATCAAGTGACTGGCCTTAAACGGTTGACGAGGCACCCTTTGGTGGTACAGCACCTCACGCAGTATGTGCCAGGTGCATGCCAACCTCTGTAATTACGGAGATGGTTTATGACTGCTCGCCAGTGGAACGTATCAACATTGATACATTGCAAAACGTTTTTTCCACTCAAACACGTAGGAAAAGATTCAAGAGAAGAAGAAGGTGAAGGAGTCGCCCACAACGTCCAAGATTAGGGGTAAGTCAACACTTTGGACTTTCTTTTTGAACTGTGTGTAGATTTGTCCTGTTCTGAACAAGATGAACATTTTTTTTTTCCCCACGGCGTGAAATATAAAGACCAAAATGAATCCATCGTGTTCGTTTAGAAGTTGCCCTTGACTGAGACATTAGAGCGCAATGTCGATTTCAAACAGTAAAGATTTTACCGAACGAAGTTGTGTTACTCCCTGGGCTATTAGATGTGCGCCTTGCCTGCTGAGGGCGCTGTGGGCTCGGCTACCATTGTCACCGGTCCGCGTTCCTTACCTGGCACAGCACGTGCCTCGTGCCAAGACAAGACGGGCGTATGAGTTGACGGAGTTGGCTCAGCACGGTGGAGTGCGGTTGTGCGAGTGTCCACAGTTCATTGGTCTGTAGTGCTTTGGACAATTTGGACCACGGTCTTTGTTTTTCCCCCCAGAATATTTTGGGAACCCCAGTGTATCATACAACATGTGTGGTGACCCACGACGAATTTTCATAAGCCACAACTGTTCCATGGTTAAATACATATTTAGTCATTGCTTCGCTATGTACACAGTGTTTGCATGGATATCAGAGTATCAAGTATCGGAGACAAACTTACTTGCTGACCTCATGCTTATTTTCTGGTGATAGTCAACTTCATTTGTACAGGGCTGTAATTTGTAGGTGTACGCAGTTCTCAGTGTGTCACATTTGTCGAAATGCCGAAGGTTTTACGGCACAACTCAAAGGGAGCAGAGAGTGTTCCTTGTCCTCGGGGGTCAGTCTGTTGTCCTCGGTTGTTAGAGTCCCTGGTTCGTCTGTGGTTGAATGCCATGTTGTTAGCACAAACAGGAAACCTCTCGGTGTCCCCTTCTTGATGGTGTGGCAAAACATATCTTCATGCATTGATTGTCATCTGTATAAACATATGATGAAGCTCGTGGTCTTGTGAGCAGTAAGATCTAATTACAGTAGACTCGTAAAATTAAAATCAAATATACATTTACTTAAACTAAAACCTGAAAAACTGACAAAACAATTAAAACCCCCATTAACATTGATTTCAATACAAGGGTACAAATTTACAGAAATAACCATCAAGCTAAAAATAAAAAATTAGATTACAAGTGGTCATTCATAAAATGTACGGCACCCGGATGAAAATTGTTCAAGGTATGGTTGGAATCAGCTCGGATTGACCTACATGTACATGTATGTCGTTTAGCCGTTATCATCATCTGATATAAATCATAAGCTGAGTGAGATGTGTCTGCAATAATTACCTGTTGAATGAACTGTGTCCTCTGTGTACCTGCCTTTGTGGAATTACAAGCGTCCATTGTGACATCCTAACTGTCTCTGGTAAATAACCGTTTTCATTCCTGGTTGTTTCCTCACATCCTCACAATCATAAAGCAAATACGGGTTCATAATCCTCCCCCTCCATCCGTTTCATGTGCGCCCCAAAAGTATACCCAGAGGGAGTGGTTTACGCTGTCCTAAACTTGAAAAGAAAAAAAAGGGTCGCCCGGTCATGGTCCTTTTATATGCACATTCTCCCACAGGAGGTCCTGTAACACAAACTTTACTACGAACTCTTTCGGCCTTAAATGATGCAACAATCTTTGTTATTGGGGCATCCTAATCTAAACAAAATTTCACTCCAGATCCCAGATTTGTGAAATCTATGAATTTGAATCGAAAAAATGCCAGAGGGCCACACGTCGGGTTGATAAGTGCGGGGCATTTAATTTTCATGAATGCCAAGTTTGGAGCTGGTGCTCCGATGCAAAGATTAACGGAGGGCCCAGTGTTTTGATTCTGGGGCAGAGTATTCCTCAAGCCTAAAGGGAGCTCAGAGCAGTCATATCTGGGGAAAACACAGATTTATCTTCTAGATACATATTTACTTCAAAAAGTGAAGCTGTAAAACCAAAAAAAAACGGGGGCTGCCTGATGCGCAATTGAAGGCAGTTGGCTTTGTGGAAAGCTGGAGGCCATGAGTGGAATCGCTTTGTGCTCCAGATAGTTACCGGTTTAATTCTTCCATGAATATAAAGCGATCTGATCCTGTTTTGAAAGGAGTCCTCTCGTTTCCCTTTCTCCCCCCCCCAATGCACATGGGAGGGTTGCAGATGATATTTGGATTCATGAATAAAGGTTTCTCAGATAGCCACGCTTATCGGACAACCCCGACATTGTAAATAATATTCCGTACTGTTAACTTGACGGATGATAAAGATCCTTAGTGTGAACTTTGAGTGGAGCAAACTCACCAGGATAATGGCAGAGTTTGCAGTGCAGAGTTACGTCCAGTTGTTGCTATCAGAAATTGCGGTTCTTTTGCCTTTGAAAGAATCCTTTGCCCCAGTAAACAGCTCCATTTTTTTTGCAGTGATTTGTTTAAAAACAAACTCCAGCCCCTTTTGAAACATTATTCAATCTACTTTTATCAAATTAAGGGAGTATTCCCAATTGCTTCTTGTGAGGTAGTGGTGTTTCGAATTTCAGCTGATGCGATGTTTTTTTTTTCTTCGATGCCAAAAAAACAAAACAAAACTGTTTGCAGAGGTAGCGCTTGTTCTAGTGAGGGTCGAATTTAACTTCACATGAAATGAGAATGCTGCCATCTTGTGGCCAATTTTGTCAAGTTTGAATGAGACTGTGGAGCAACAGTGACACAAAACTCATGGTGGCTCATTGACTCTGTACACGCATGGTGGTATCTTTACAAGACAGAGGGAAATTTTTCATTGGTGATGAGTTGCAAAATGCATGACATTCTGTTTAGTTTTCGGTATATCTAAGGGACGGGGTACGGGGACAGTAACCCGAGATGTGAGGTTTTGTTTCAGCATTTCTCCCCACTGTCAGTTGCGGTCGTTGTTCATGATATCATAAGAATAAAGGATGCTCACGCACACACTCGTGTAGTGAATTTTAGACCAGTTTGAAGATTTCAGCTGGCCCATTGGTTGTACGGTAGTTGGGGAGTTACATGTCGTAGGTACTAGCACATGACCACTTGCAGTTGCATTCTCAAGGACATGGGCTTGAGTGTCGGAGATGATGATGCAACTGTAGTCTAGAGTGACAGAAAGACCGAAACTTGCATATCGTGACTTGGCACCGGGGGCTTGCGTCTTGGCAGTCACTTTTTCAAATAACAGTTTTAGGTTTGACAGTATAAAGATAACTCTGTGTCCTGTTCAACTTCTGACCCGTAGCGAGTAGCGATTGTAAGTCAGCAGTCGACGGAAAGAGCGTGCATTTATTCAGTGCGGCTTTGGTTTTTGTGATGACCTCAGTTATGTGTTTTCAGTTGTTTATTTCTGCGTGTTTTCGCTTTGATAGGACTCTCGAACAACTTTAATCGCACCCATGGTACAAAGTTTTGAGACGGATAATCATACAAATGGACTATGAATACCGTTTTGCATAAAATGGGTTAAGCCCTTCTCCGTTGCAGGCCCAAAGGTTGGCCAGTTTAGTCAGTATGAAAGGACACTGGTTTTTCGATTTGGATTATTGAAAGGACGTTTGAGTAAAAACTGGCCTTCTCCATCCCTCCTTCGTGGGACCTGAATTGTGTGCTGCTTTTGAGGGATATTTAGGGGTGAGGGGGAGTTGCTAGTAGTTGAAGCAGAGATGGACTGTAGCCACTTAGCATAGTACATGTACCGGTATGTTGCTTAGCAATATTATGTGCCAGGCGAAATATCAGCCGTGAGCCAGTCAGAAAGTGTACAGAATGCTGGTTAGCGACCTGCTTTTTGCTGAGCAGATGTGTTTGTTTTCCTAGCAAGGTTTCCACACTAGAGAACCCTATCCCTATTAGCTCCGTCCACTTTTACCAGGTCAACAAAAAAGCTCACGAAGCTCACAGCCCCCTGCACTTAATTGAAATTTTAACAATCAGTTGCACAGCTTGTCTGCTGTCCTCTCTATTCAGACTGTAAACAAAAACAAACGATTTAAAAAAACTGAGTATAATGTTCAAGCAGTAATTTGAGATTTTTACAAGAAATCGTTCCAAGTTTTTCTGCAAAGTGTCAGATGTTCATGTAACATGCCATGCTATCCTCAGAATATTTTAGAGCAAACATTAGGTATGTGTACTGTACTTAATCAAAGTCAATTCAATTTCCACCTTCTTGCCATTCAAGTTGGTTGCTTTTTGTTTTGTGCTTAGTTCCTGTTCTAGTGGGGGGGGATTCAACTTTCTCTTGGGGTAAAATCTAGACAGCCATGGGCCGAGCAATACAGTTAGTGGATAGATTACCACATGCAACAAACCCTGATCCCCTGTTCCATGTATCGGCGATTGTTGTCACACAAAGCAGTTTCCATAGACTATGAGTCGGTCGGCAGTCTGCAGTGCTGCCTCTCTCTCTCCCAGAAGGGTGATTAAGCCGCATGAAATATGCATTCTGCATTAAATAATCAGTTCAATCGTGTGGAGGGGAGCAGGAGATGGGAAGGGGGAGGGGGGGTTGGGGGTTAGCGAAGCGAGGCCCTCTTGTTCCAGGTCAGACGGGAGAGCTGATCATTAGGGAGATTGGACTCTGAATTATGCAAGTGGCGCATACATATGTACAGGTACGTGTGGGGCAACCTACAGTACATGTGTCTACATTCTCTTCACTACTGTTGATGTACATGTAGCTGGAACTTGGCAGGGGGGATGCAAGATGCACTTTTTTGGGGGGGGGTGTTTTTTGAAGGGAGGTTTTCTTTGGTGGTGCTTCGAGCCATTGTCATGGCGCCAGAGATTAATTTTTTCTGTGTCAGGCCCAGATGTTTACATCTGGGCCTGACTGGAGGTGTGGGGGGTGGTAAATTGGCACGTTCGTGATGTTCACCTGTCAGTTCTTTTCACCTGTGAACTTTTCTCGCTGTTCTTTTCCTGCCAGGACAATTTACATGTAATTAGCACGCTGATATTTTATCATCCACCAACAGGTGACTTAAGGGCTGTATCACCAATCAGTACACTGTGACATGCTTAAT